GGTACACTATTTAGTGTTAGCAAGGTTGAAAATAAACAATAATTTCACACCTAAACGTTTATTAACACTATTATTTTTATTGAAAATTTTTTGTGAAAAATGATCATGATCAATTTGATTAGGTCAGTGAAATCATACTATTACTTACAAACCCATTAAAACAAATTTCCCTCCCCCCAATTGTAGTGTTAAATAAGACAAATAATTTTCTTATGATCAATGCTGAACAATTATTATTAGTAAGAAATAAATTAGATGGTTATTACACCGGACTCCGATTTAATTTGTACCTAGTTCTAGCAAGTTTAGAACGATTAAAAAAAAAAAAATTCTAGTTTTACACCTAAGCTAAAATTAATAACTTGTGGCGTCATTTTAAATGCAGCTTTTTTCTCGAAAAAGTCATTATTAATATATTTTGTTACAAGTTAGAGATTTGGCAATATGTACATCTAGAATTATCCGAGACCTCGAATTACCCAGTTTTATCAAATACATTATGTTCTACTGCTATAAAATAATTTTAAATTATAAATAAAAACCTAATTGACCTGTTGGGATAATAATTATTATTATACCTCAATCGTTGACTATGTTATTTTTAATTTCGTCGAGCCAAACATTTTAGCTTAAACTATTATAACACCACAATAATTGAAATTTAACAATCCGCCAAAAGTACATATATGTAGGTAATTAACAGGCTACAATTCGAGTTGTAATGTTTTTATTATTGTGATTAGTATCATTATGATGTCGTCATCGTAGACAATAATCCTAGTCTAATGGTCTAGACGCCGGTTTAAATTCAAAGTTAAAATTAAACTCTTTTAAACAACTTTGATACTGTTCACCTTAGCGTGTAGTTAAGCGATTGCATAAATAATGGATATTTGTCTTGGATTTTCGTTTTTGTTAATTGATAAATTGTGACTAAAAAAAAAAAATAGTAAAAACATTATTTATGCTGATGTACATCCTCGAAATACCAAGTGATGAACACAGGAAATCTTATTGACAAAAAAATAAAAACACACCTTGTTCGTTAACACTTTTTTAATATTTGTTAATATTTTATCACCAAATTTTTTGTATAACTCGAACTCTATGTGAATAAACTTCCTCTTAAACGTTACATTTACAGAAGAAGATACTTCAAAGAAGATACTTTACAGTGCCAAACATTAAAAAAAAATGTATACTTTGACCTTAAAAGTCAAGGAAAACGCCCAAAAGTTTAATTAATTTTTTCCCCAGATGGGTTGGAATCTTTTCCTTCGAATCAAGTCTTAGGAATTTAGGTCTGACCAGAGTTTTATTACGTTCACTGTGATATTAAATATTTAGTCTAATAATATTCACCCTAATACTAGAATTACAAATTTCAAGCACATTACTGTCGTTACATTAATTATGTACCATAATATTATTTTAACGTTTTAAAGAAAAATAAGAAAAGGGAAAAACCACACTCTTGCCATATTAAATTTCCAAGATGCTACTTGTGAGTGGGACGGCCAATGGGTATTGGAAAAATATTTTAATTATATTGTTGTTGATTATACGATTCATGGGTAAAAACGCCAAAAAATTATCATATCAAAATAGATAATTATTTATTATTATATAATAATTCCACTATTATTTAAAATGTCATAGACGTAGTCATTAAATTGAAAAACATGTACGTTTTTTTCTTCAAATTTTCAGCCTATCAAACTACTACAAGGTAAACCACTCAATATCTTCTTACTGGGTTGAATAAGAAATTTAGTGTGTGTAGATAAAAATAACACTACACTCCACCTTTCCTCCTGCTCTAAACTTGAAACTTCAATAACTTTAAAATTATCTATAACACATTGAAGAAAAAAACTGATGCGTACATATTTTTTTTCAAGTTTTTACATAATTTCCCATAAAAATGTTCAGGTCAAGACATCATGGATGAAAAAACCCAGATTAATTAATCCCAGTGAGATATTGAGTGGTTCACGATAAGTTGATCACCCTGTATACAGGCACGTTTTCGGTGCATGTACAGAGTGATCAATCTGATGTAAGACATTGGTTTTCTCAGAAAAAATATGAATATTTTAAAAAAACATTTTTTTTTTTTTTAATATACTTGTAGGTACATATTTTATTATATTTTCAATACTCATAAATTCTGTACTTATTATTGTAGTTGAAAAATAATACTTCATTCGACCATTCTCCCGTCATCGGTTTTAAACTTTAACTACCTTTAATCTAACCAGTCAAAATGTTCAGCAAAATATTCTTATTTTAAAAAGTTAATTAAACACATTGTACGTATGCTGATCTGAAGTACTCTTTTTTTCGTAGGGCAGTAGATAATAGATAGTAATCAGATAAATGGACAATTTGTATAGATTGAGATTGAGACCTATGGGCTATGGCATGGACAAAACGGGCAGAACACACACACATTGGCCATAGAAGAGGAGTTAAGTTTTAAAATTTTTAAATTGCAATAATTATTATTTTAAGAGATATCAAGACACGTGTCTTGCGTTAAGTGGACTAAACGCATACTTATTGGGGAAGTAATCCACGCCAACGGTTTGTTTATTTAAACTTGGATAAAATTAACTTGGAAGTTCAAACGTTTGTGCAATCGATACCAACAATAAACGACAGCGTCGAAATGTATTTTTAACACTTAAAACAATGCCAAGTCCGAAAGGTCATGCTCCCGACGGAAATCAAATTCAGTTAACACGTTGGTGTGTGCTGTTAAATTATTATGTTCTATTTAGCATTCTGACAACATAGCACATACAATACATAGCAAAACATAGCACATATATAATATTATATTTTGACCATATCGAATTTAGAAGATAAAATAATATGACCCACTTACTGTGTGTGTGTGTGTGTTTTTTTTTGTTATTATTATTATTATTGCTATTGCTGTGACTGTTCTAAAACAACAATTCCAACCAAAGTGAGTCGTACTGACTACTGTGTATTAAAAAAAAAAAAAAAGGAACACACGACAGTATTAAATTTTATCAAAAACACATTATTATTATTGGCCTATTATTTTTCGTTGCCACGATGGAAGATAATAAATTACTATAAAGTTGTCGAACGTATGTTCCATAAAGTTTTCGGACCGAAATCAATAAAATTCACATTAAATGGTCTGTTTGAAATAATAAAGATTAAAAAAAACGGCGTACCTACTCAACTGAATTGCGATTGTACAGGGTGATTCATTCGGGCAAGACACTCCACAGCCGTTGTTAAAATAAATGCGATTTTTTGTAGTTTTTCTTTTTGAAAAAAAAAAAAATGCATGAATTGTCTAACATTGTAAAATAAAATATCTCTCCAAAAAGAAGTACTGCAAAACGGTAAATATTATGCGCGTTTCCCGTTAAATGGATCACCCTGTCGATAAACGTGTCGATTGTTTTTATGATAAGTCAGTTTTTTTAACGGGTTCATCTGTACAAGAACAAAATATAGATAAGACATCCCGTGTTTGACGTTGTGATCACTCTTGCAAGGCATGTACAAATACAGGGTCTTCAAAATTGTATGATACCAAAAAATATTATTCTATATGAGCTAGCATCTTGAATTTTCAACCAAAAAAAAAAAGCAAAGAACCTTAATTCAATATAACAAATCTCATATTTGTTTGAATTTTTTATAATGCATAATTTAAAATTTGTTTATCTAAAGTTTCCAATAAAATATTGACCACATAAAAGATAATTTTATAGTTAAACGTACCTATTATAGGTTAAATATTTATCAGATGGACAAAAACAGAAAAAATAAATGAATTATTTTGTTTGTATGACTTGTCGATTAAAAAAAATGTGTCAATTTTATTTTTAATTAATTTATAAATAAAAACATTTAGCCCATTACTAAACTACAATTTATACATAATATTACGGCCATTTTTTAGCGATTAATTGTCATGTATATGTTGATTGTTTTTAAGACTTTAAATTCCGGATTGTACATATTATTACTATTATACATAATAATACACGTGTTTATATTGGCCGACTAGGATTGTTCGCACCTTATTAGCTGTTAGACCGTTTGGATTATGTAACCGAGTTGTTTATGTGTGCCTTGGGTCAAAACACATTCAATTCCAAAGTCAAGTAAAAAATGATATTGATTTCTTATCGAAGAGTTGAAAAAATAAAAAAAATAATGTTAAAATTACCGTTTTCCCTCACGTTAATCAAATAACAATCACCGTGTTAAATTGAATAATATTTATTCAGCAAAATGTATACACAACGTCCAAGGCTCGTCCAATTGTATAATGTTTATAATATGTATTCTTTGAATAAACTAACAATCTTAATGACTTGACGGTTTTCCTACAAAAACGATTGTTTTTATTTATAAAGTCAATAGGTATATTGTGGTTGGTAATGAAAATTCACACACACACACACACATTAGCATATTTTTAATTTAATACTGCTTAATTAAAAACGGAATAACCGTATTTAGATGGACGTTTTTTGCGGCGTTAATTCATTAGCTGATGAAGCATTAGGAAAGGTGGCTAGTTTGTTCAAAGCGACACTAGTGAAAATCCTGTGATTTTGAGCTTAAGCTGAAAAGAATCGAGCAAACGAGCAATTTGTACTGCGCGTGCACCCTGTATACAAACCAGTCTGGCGATAAACACTAATAATATTATCGGTCGATTGAATGTGCATAAAAAAAAATAATATTATAATTATAATTATAATATTACGCACAAAACGCGGAACTACGGAGCTAGTCTATTTTTTACAATTAGTATTTTTCCATTTCCTCGATTTGAACATTTTTTTTTTTTTTTTTGCACAAAATGTTTTCAACGAACGGGTACCCCAAACGTGTGACTACCGACGGGTTGGGGGGGGGGGGGTTAGGTCGTGACTCGGGTTTCGGTTTGGCAAAAACTGGCAAACGGTTTGTACACGAGGAAGCAAAAAGATCTCAAAACGACTCGACCCGGTCGTTCGACTCGTCGCGGCGTTTGAATATGTCAACCACTCCGTATAAACCGCCTGCGCGCGCAAACGAAAAACCACTTACTGCACGCGCTCGGTATACCACACACACACACACACCGCTCTAGAGCATATCAACCGCACACTGATTAAATATCACCGACCGCACAACAGCGCGAGTTGTCGACTGTGGAAAACCGCCGCCGCCTTCTGTTAGAAAATTATCTAAATCAATTTTTTTTAAAAAATTTTTTTTTCTTCTTCTTCTTCATCATTACAAACCCTTTGCCGAACATGTCCGTCTTGACCGGCACGACGCCCATGGAAAAAGTGGGCCTGGTTTTCATCAGCCTGATCGTGCTGAAGATAACGCGGTTCGTGCTCGGGTTCGCCTATCAGCATCTGCTGGCGCCGTCGCTCAACATGAACGTGAATTTCAAAAAGACCGGCAAATGGGCAGGTACGGTAATACACACGTTATAAATATGTACACGACGGTTCGGTATGGAAAACGGTATTTTCCAATTCGATCCAACGATTAGTAATCCAATATAATATGTAAACTAACTTGTTCGATTGCTACTATATTGGGTTGCTCGTTAAAAGTAGCATATTAGTTCAATATTTATTCGTTTTTTCCTTATCGCAACAGGTCATTGTGTTAAAAATCATAGTATAATTTTTTTTTACATTTTTTTATTATAAATTGTTGTCAAATTAAATTTTGCGCAAACATATAAACTAATTGTTTGGAAAATTACGGATTTATTATTTAATTTAAATTACCTGCGAGTAATTAGAAATATCGAGGAGTTGGAACTCCTGTGGTATGAAATTTGATGGATTTCACCCCGCCGAAAATGCATTGGAGGGCAATAATAGTTAATTAAAATACATTATGTAGAACTTTGTTTTAGTGTAAAACAAAGTCTATCAAGTTTGCCCGTTCGATCAAGTTCAAAAATACACCCCCTGGCACTCAAAACTCTCATCAATTCACAGAACCCAACCACAACCTCAGTTAACCTAACCTAACCTAACCTAATTTAACCCTTTTTTTTCTGAATCGCCAAACCAGGGGAGTAGGGCTTTCACATTACTCCTCCCTAACCTAACCTAACCAAATCTAACCAAACCTATCCGAGTTAAAAACAACTGTCGCCACTCGACCCTTATAGAATCCTCTTTAACAGGTGGTGGCAATCCTTTTTTAGATTCGATGCGATAGCTGAGAAGGTATTGTACTTACAATGATGTGTTTTTATATTTTTATATTTTTGTGTCCGTAAGCACGATATTTTTTAAGATCTGTAGGAGCTCTTGAGATCAGAAATCGTACCTGTAAGGTACTTCATTAGACTAAAAATTTAAAAAGTTCATCACTTCCCCTTCAAAAAACATCCGAAAATATACATTTTTTTCAACTCAAAAATTACGGTGCTCTATATATGTTTTCAAAATAGTCCAATTGGTTCCAAATGTGTGTAGAATATTCAAGAGGTACTTTATTGAGTTAAAAAAAATTCTCCCATTCAAAATCCAGAAAAACACCCAAAAAAATTGATAGATTTTTCAACTTAAAATTACGATGCTTTATAACTTTTTCAAAAATAGTTTAACGAGTTCCAAATTTGTTTGGAATATTCTTCCATCGTAGTACTATCGATAAACATTGACAAACCAAAAAAAATATGTTAACTTTGTACATATTTTTCAACTTAAAAACTATTACCGCCCATCTATATATTTTTTAAACATAACCTTTGACCCTATAATTTAAATTATACAAAATATGTTCTAAATAAAAAAAAAATTTGAAAAACCCCGGAATATGGGAAATTTTAATAAATAAAATTTTGAATTTGATTCTTTAGAGTGTTATATTTAAATTTGCAATTTACCCAACATTTTTCTTCGACCCTTCAGTAAAAACATGCAATTGCATATACTTAAGGGCTCTAATTATTTCTAATTAAAAATATAAGACATGTATATTTATTTTTCTGCTTTTCCACTCACAAACGTTAAAGCCCTTTGAATTTGTTTTGCCGTTTTGTTCAGAATGATGTAAAAAGTGGGTTTCTGTATTTGGTCTTTGGAAAAAATTTATTTTAAGTTGAAATGTTTTCAAATATTTTTTTAAAAAAATTGTCTACTGCCAATAACTAACTATTCTTATAAATTATTATCATTATTATTTTATATAAGCGTTTTACTAATGTTGTACTTTATGGTTATTTTTTAAGTTATAACTGGCGCTACAGACGGTGTAGGCAAAGCGTATGCCGAACAGGTTTGTTGCAATTTTCTTAAATAGTATTACAATTGATTGAACGATTAATATTCTTCCGTCGTTTTTAGTTGGCCGGCAAAGGGTTGAACATAGTACTCGTGAGCAGGACCAAGTCAAAGTTGGAAACGACAGCAAAAGCCATCGGTGAGTAATGTAAACTAAGGGGGCAACTTAAGTAGAATAAATTAGGGTACCTAAGCACGGGTGAAATTGAAAAATCTCAATGCCTCACTACTTATGGTGTAAGACAATAGCAGAGTTGTGGAAATTCATATTCGAACGATGCACAACTCTGATTGTAAGTATAGACTTTTTCAAAGTGATGATTTTTTTTGCAGGCGACAAATACGGAGTGGAAACGAAAATTATCGAAGCCGACTTCACCGACGACGGCCCGGAAGTGTACGCGCATATATCCAAAGAGCTTTACGGTTTGGAAACCGGTGTGCTCATCAACAACGTGGGTCTGTCTTATCCTCATCCCGAGTACTTTTTGAACATCGAAACCAGCGATCCAATGTTCGACAACATCGTCAAGTGCAACATAACTTCCACGTTGAACATGTGCAGGATAGTCATGCCCGGCATGGCCGAACGCCGTCGGGGGGTCGTGATAAATATATCTTCCACCGTGGCCCAGATCCCTTGTCCGCTGTTGACCGTTTACGGTGCCACCAAGGTGAGTTCTATCATCTAACTCGGTTAATTAGCCGTATACATTATATATTTAAGAGACGATAGGATCTATAGTTAAAGGCAAAGGAGATTCAAGTGTGGAAACTATAGAGGAATAATTTTCACATAGTCATAGACTTGGGAAAAGAGAATTCGAAGTGAGACATGAATTACCAAAAATCCCGTTTTGTTTCATGCCAGGGAAATTGACGATGGATCCGGTATTTTGTGCGAAAGAGCTTGTAGAAAAGTACAGAGAAAAGAGAATAAACCTATGGTTAGGTTAGGTTTTTCAGGGTTTGTCAGGGAATGAGACGATCTAGGGTCCGATAAACTTGAAAGATCCAGTGAAAGTAGGCCTGCGAATATTGACTCTGAAGGCAACAGCAGGGATAAATCTTCTCTGAGCTTTTTCGACCATAGACTATATAGCACTGCCTTACTCGAAGATAGAATGCTCAGCAAAGAGCTTTGAGAGGTGGAGAAAGATGGTATAATTTGTAGGTCCAAAGTATGACCCAAAGGACTTTGAAAGCTTTACAATATATCTCACCAATAGTCTGTCGAGTTTTGAAAAAAGTATTCCAACAGATCAAGACTTTGAGTCCGTTGTGAATTACATCCGTAGGATTGAAACTTGGGAAGATTGAGCCTTAATCGTTAAGGACTCGATTGACCTAACCTCGCCCAACTCGAGAGCATGAACTACTTTACTAAGCCTGGGTCCAAACGATTGTTTAGTCATTTGAAAAGCAGCTTGGGTCACTATTTTTTTTTACAAAATGAGATTATAGCGGGTTTCGATTCTCTGGCGATAGATACGGGCACGAATACCTTCTTCCACTAAGACCCAAATATTTAAAATATCGTTGAAATACTCTTGGAAGTAAGGTTTTAGGTTAAAGTATAAGAATTGTGTAATTACTTGTTAAATTTTCCTGTAAAACGTTTAGAAAACGACTTGTTAGGATTTTGGTTGTTTTCTAAATGTTGGAAATAAAGACATTGTACCATTCCTTATTCCTTAACAACAAACTACTTAACACAACTTCTATCTTAATGCGACCATTAAGTTTCTAATACCGCAGTTCAGTAATGATTTTGACGTGTTGATGTGTGTTTCATTCCCAACAATATATTGACGGTATAAACTCAATTGTTTGTGAAAAACCATCATTATTTAGGTCATTAAGATTGTTAGTTTATTTACCGAATAATTATTAAGTATAAAACAACCCATGTACCTATTTTAATTGGACTTGGCTTGATTTACAAGCTGTTTAACCTAAATACGGGCCTCAGGCGTTGTGTATAATTTCCTTGAGTGATATTATCATTTAAAACGTCAATTAGTAATCAATTTATATATGAATAAAGATTATTTTAATATTATTTCTTATACTCTATTAAACTTGTCAATAATAAATTACAATAATTTTTCTCGACTTGGAAAAATAATGTGTTTTGGCCCAAGTCACATAAATAACTCTATTACATAGTCAAGTAACTAAAAATGCAAAATATACTGTAAATATAAATCCATTTTAAAAAATGTGCGTCATGTGAAAAAAAAAACACCTAAAATATGCAAAACTATAAAAAATGAAATTTTGATTTTTTGAACTAATATTCAAATTATTAGCTCACCTATATTTGTTTTTGATCATTCAGTAAAAGCATACTAATGAATAACTTCCGGGTCCTAACAAAATTATGTTAAATGTTTACAATACAGGGGACATGTTTATAAAGCCGAATTTTACAGGAGGCACAACAAATTGGCTTAGCCAGACTGGGAAGGAGCTAGAGACCATTTTAGTTGCATTTAAAGCACAGAGACATAACTAAAAACTCTTATTTTAATTTTAAACGATTTAAGTTTTATGGTTTTTTTTTTTACTCGATTGGACCATTTTAAATAAAATTAATGTTGTAAAAGTGCACACATTTTTCTGTAATATTATGAAAATCCAAATAATGTTATAATCTCAACCTTTAATAATAATTGTGCTACACGGTATTACTCCAAGTTATCGTTTTTAAAGTGGGGTCATTGCCAAGGTCAAGTTAGGTAACAAGCGAAAATTCAGTGGAATTGAAAAATAAAAAAAAATTACCACAATTAAAATTAATTGTACTTTGCGTAGATCAGACTGAATTGTAATTAATTGTACTGAACTTATAGTAAAAAAAAAAAAAAAACTATTAAAATCTTGTGATCAAATCTAGACTTGTCAGAAAAATCACACAGACTTGTCCACTTTTTGTCAATTAGTGACTCAAATATGGGCGATTAAAAAATGAACGGGGTTTTGTCTTGTTTCATTCTAACAACATTGGTCTATCATTACAGAAATTCGTCGAGAAATTCAGCGAGGAACTGGCAACGGAATACAAGAGTTTCGGCATCACTGTACAATGTGTCGAACCGGGTTACGTTGCCACCAAGATGAGCAAAATCAGCAAACCCTCATTGATGGTGCCCAGCCCGGAAAAGTTTGTCAAGTCAGCACTGCAAACGACCGGAATCGAAGGCGTGACCACCGGATACTTGCCACACACTATAATGGTAATTGATTTGATTAGGAAATTAACCAAAAATTTCACTACCCAGACCGTTAAAATCCAAACACGATCAGTGGGTCACATTGTAGGCACAGTGGTCGAAATATGAAATCAGTTTGCCTTCAATAATACCTCATAGCCCATAAGACCGTACAATACAACGTTTGTATCTATTTATACGTCAAAGAATCCAAATTCATCATCAGTTTTGAATTTTGCCGCTAATTTAGCGGGTAGTAGGGTACTTCACAAAGATGTCATTTTATATGTTATAAGCCACTGAATCTAAATTTATTCATTAGTTTTGAATTTAGGCGGTAGAAGGGAGAAGTGGAGGGAAAGGGCGAAAAAGTCGGTATTCTGACCGTCGGAATCAGATTGTAATGAATTTTCTAGTTTTAGCAGTGTTTTTTCTACATCTGGAAATTCTGAAATTTGATTAAGGCGAGCTAATTTCATACGTCGACCACACTGTGCCCTCGTGATGGTTTTCATTAAAGAGAATGTTTATAAACAAATAATAAAAAAAAAAAAAAGGAGAAATTCGTATAAACGAGTAGAAACAAAACCGGTGCCTACGTAAAATATTTTATTCCAAACTAGTTTTCTCCGGCAATCGTATGCGACTCTGGTGAAGGGTAAGGTTAGATTTTGTGTTTACTTTCTGCGTAAAACCTAGTAAAATAAAAAAAGGGTAATTCATTGATAATCGTGACATTGTAAATAAATAGACAAGTAAGTAAACACGACCATAGACAGTGTGCCGTTTGAATTCGAGTGTCTGCCCACGACCTAACGTGTTGGCCGGCCCGACGGTTGTGGAAGGACAGAGATGGCATACGAATGTAGCATCCAGCTGAATACAATATCACTTACACCTCTCTATCGGTCACTACAAGATCCGGCCACGAACAAGGTCAATGTCAATGTGATGTGAGAGTTTAGCCGGGCTGGCTACACGGTGTGGGTCCAACATTGAGATACTGTAGGAAATTTGTATTTCCTGAGGTCGTGTACACACATTACGGCCATAAAGTGATGAACATTAGTCGTCAGGCCATTTTTTTTTAGTTAATGTCCAACGACCATTGATGAAACGCCGAATTTCCAGTGAAATCTCATTTAGAAGTAGATAATTTAAAAAGTATAAATCTCATCGTAGAGCATTGAAAACGTTACCGAGCCAAAATGTAAACCATTCGTTTAATATTATAATCAAGCCTATATTCTTACCAGCCAAAATGCATTTACCTAAATCCGTACGAATCTAGTAAATGTAATTTACCATTAAAATCAATTATAGGGACGAATAATAATCAGTTATACAGTGATTGGTTTGTTTTAAGCTGTAGTTTTTTCTAAAATTTTACAAAAAAAAAACATTTGACAATCCCATAATTTATAAATTCCAAAATAGCATCTTAGATGACAACTGAATTATTGTTTCAAAATAAACTGTGATTTTATAGTTAAGTTAGTCATAAGGTATACTGCTAGCTTAACTGAAAAAGTTAAATTATGCCTTTTGAAACCGTATAAATGGTTCATTCCAGGAACAATGTTCTCATGGCACAACTTGACGTTAAAGTGTTTTTAATTGACCTTTATGTTTACTTACAGGTTCAATCTGTTAAGTAACTATTTAAATAGGTAACAAAAAAAAAAATGCAAATGTTGGCTTGATAACGTTTACAATCTCTGCTCGTTTGTGTATTTAATTTTAATTTATGTGATATTTTACCTGCTTACAATTCAAAAAGCCCTGAGTTTTCTTTGGATCAATACAGCCGAGATAATTTAACAGAAAGGGCATTTTTGTCTTCTCAAATTGACTTTGTTCCACGTGGTATAAAAATTGAAATACACACAAATTTCTGTAAATGAAAATGAGTGAGATTTTTATTTGTTTCAGTTGATAAAATTACTGAAATTGAAACTTTAAAAATACAAATAAATCTAATCGATAGAATATTAAATTTTATAGAAAACCGAGGCGTTTTCTCGACAAAAATGAAAAACATTAAAACCAATAATAATAATAATTATGTTTGATAAGTTAAAACGACCAAATACGGAACTATAGAAGACGGAAAAGATATTATTTTTTTAAACTTTTATGTCGGTAATATAATTATCCCTCTTTGTACAATTAACGCTTTGAGTAGAATATTTTATTCGCGATCAAGGATTTTCAACAGGACTGGTTTGAGTGTATTTAATAACTATGTATAGCAAACAACGTCATAGGGTTTACCGAGCCAACGTGTGAATAATCCACTTAATATCCAAACTAGTAGCACGTTAAACGACAATTGATCAATTTTTTTTTTATAATCTATTTCAGTCGGAAATTGCAATAAACTAAACGTTTTTTCGAGATAAATTCCAATGTAGTATTTTGTAAACGATTTATTGCTCGTGCAGAAGCTTGTTGTGAAATATTGATAAATAAAACAGCCCAGACCTTGGCCAATGGTACAACCCGGTAAACTGGTTCGTGTAGTAAATATAGGCATGTGTAATAGATACGCTATAAATATAGGAAAACCAAAAAAAAAACTAGGAAATTACACCGTGTTGAATTCTTATATTGCTATGTGTGTGTGTGAACGAATTAACAGGTTTATCAAAAAAATAAATTAAAGAAAGGAAATCAGTAAAAAAAACCAAAAACTTTATTTTTGCATTTAAAACATTTGTTATTTTTTCAGATTCTTAGGTACTTTTTTGTGCTTTTTTCAGGCACTCGCAGCCGGCTATTCCCTTTTTTAGATAAAATAAAAAAAACTTGTTATCCATACATTTAACGATAGCTTAAATCTAATTACAGCTAACTGAGTAAAATATTTGACTTATTCAATTCTTATTTTTTTAAATTAGGATTAAAAATATTATTTTAAAAAGTAATAACATTAAGAGGTGACTTTTAAAAGTCAGATAGCAACCTATGTGTTAGATTTATCTACTTATTGAAAGCAGAATGATGTAATAAAAATAATCACTTGTAGACAATCAGTTTTGTATAAACAGTTTTTTTGTGTAGTTATCATTTAAAGGTTTACCTTTATGTATACTGGGGATATCAAGGTATTTAAAATATTATTTTTTTTTTAACTTAAACATGAAGCATATTAAGTTTCAACCATTAATCAAACATTTCTTATACCTTTTGACTTTGATAAAAGACTTTTAAAAACAGCTGTTTTCGTAGCAAAAATCGATTCGAATAGTTCAATAGTACTTATAAGTTGATTTTAACTGAAAAAAGAACTTAAATGAAAATACGGTTGAATATATTATTATTAATTGCTATGAAAACCATATAAAGACCATTTTTAAAAACCATATGATTTTACAATATTATAAGTTATACCTAAATAAAATAAGTATAACTAAGTAATTAAAAAAATACAATTTAAAGCACATCATCAGCGTTTACAACTGTTTTCATAGATATTTTATTTGCCTACCTGATCTAACCGGATCAAAGTATTTTTTTTTTTGTTTGAGTGATTTGATTTAATGGTGCAGCTTTTTTTTGTTTACATTGTATTTGACAATATTTATATTACAAAAAAGTATTTTTCTGTGTGTTCAAGGTGAAATTCATCCATTTCGGTAACGGCATATGCCAGCCATTTATGAACAACATTGTGATGAAGAACATGTTGAGCATTCGAACTCGGGCCCTGAGGAAAAAGACCGTCAAATGAGTCGACTTGCGGTGATCTCTGCGATTTCCCACTACCTATATTATGAAATAATAATAATTATTAAAAAAACAAACTTTAGGGGGCTATTTAAATCAAAACCACCGCGGTATTGTGTGAATAGCGACGATTGTGTTTCACTATTTTTCTTGTACATATATTATATTGTTAGGAAATAAACTTTCGCTCGTGCGTGCGTGCGGTTTTAATTGAACAATATTATGTTGTGATTTAAAAAAAAAATATGCCCAAAGTCTGTGTAAAAACTCAATATTCGTTTTACCTTTGGTGGGTTAGGTGATTTCATTTTTTTTTTTTTTTTAGTAGATAAGCTAATAATGTTATGATTAATCAGCCCGTGAAAGTTATCGGTAAACTGATTTCCTAAACTGGAATCGGAAATTTTAATGGTTAAATTAATATGCGACATTCTCACTTTTACAAGGTATACACGAGGTCTATCCCAATTAAATATGGAGAGTTGAAAGTTTTTATTTTTTTTATATAAACTCTACTCAGCGTGAACATTGTGTATAAGTTATTTTTAATTTCAATATTTTAATTAATAAAAAAAAATTACCCAAAATGACTTCTACCAAAGTCTTCTTTTTTCTTATAGAATTTTTGCCATTAAAACATTATTTGAAAAGTTTTGTAACTAGTTTTAACGTCGCTTGAGATGCAACACATCATATCTCATGTTTTGACCAAATCAAGTTGGCCACACTGTTTTTATTTTAATTTGTGCGGGGAATCGACTGGTGGGCTCAGGTTTACGATTAAATCAATGGATAATTATTAAAAATCAAATAATTAAATGTATCGTTATAATCTCATGTTAATTATAATTTAGTGTTCATTTACTTTTATGTTAGTTGGCTTATTTTAAATGGCTTTAGATCAATTCATTTAAAACAGTGCCAATCAAGTCAGGTGACAATTTTTTATACATACAGATTTTGAATATGCCGTTTTAAATAAGGGTTTTAGTGTTTTTTTTTTTTTTTAATGTTGACATAAAGAAATATTATTTAAAACGCGTTACTCGAAGAAATAAACTGAGAACCGCCTTGTCAATGGGAATTGTTTTGGAGAACGATAACAATGCGTAAAATCTATTGCAACACATACCACCTGGTCTGTATGTTTGCATACATCAGCGGTATAATTTAGTGAAACAATTACTATGCAACAAATTTGTTTATGAAACTAACAAAAAAAAAAATAAAAAAAATACCGCCTGGTCGAACAACACAATAACAGTTAAAACAAACCGAGTCCCATTTTTGCAAAACTGTATTAACCATATTGAAAAAAAAAATCCGATATAAAAAAATGTAAAGCCTTATTTATAATATGTAATTTTCTACTTCTCTAACATACCCACGTGGTACATCTTTATATGTTATATTCAAAAGGACATATTAAATTGATAAGGTAATTAAGATAATTGCAATTCAGCAACAATAGTAAGATAAGGAAATTTTGGTATTGATATAGATTGCTATACTTCAGAATTAAGAATGAATATTAGTAAATATTGTTGTGTTTGTTTTCTATAGATCGTTTATTATGATTAAATTTTAGACGTTTAAAAGTTATTACTCTAAAACACGTTGGAAATTCTTTCAAAACCAACTTACTGTATTTTTATATTAGATTTTAAGTATACTGTGCGCAGCATCTGAACAATTAAGAAGGAGATTATATTTAGATTACCAAACACCGAATTAAAAAAAAATTATTAATTCAAATTTAATTTTTAAGTAGTTATAAATTTGTTTTGAATCGCCTTTCTAGTTTGTGCTGTTTGAATAAAAACAACATTACCAAAATATTATGCAAAATATGTGATCAATAATTATTACAACTGATGTAGATAAGGGAACCTTGGGTAAGATAGGTACTTTAATAAAATAAACAAATTTATAATTTAAATTGGACAGTCCCGTTATGCCCCACATAAGCTAATATTTGTTTTGAATGAAACCAATACATTTGAATACTTTATCAATTATTAATAATACTACACAAAACCAAACTACAGAAGTAATAATTATCACTGACTTTGGAGGAATCCAGTTGTCTTATCTTACTTCATGTGCTTAACTTGGCCCATGTTCCCCTATTAGTTTGATCTTTTTCGGATTCATCCATTTTTTCGTTACCTAGTTTGCTGATGTTTTGACCCCTATGCAGGGTTCATACTCACCTTTTTTTAAAAATTAGCATTTTTATTTAAAATTATTACCTTATCGAACTGGATGTAATGTTTGTGGTCGTGCAAAAAACCGCGAAAAAAAACCTAGTTATTTACTTCTCTCCGCGGAAAAAACATTGAATCATGGATATGTTATCTCTTATCACTTATTTCTTATCTCTAATCTCTTATCTCTTAGCTCCACGGATATATTTAATAAACTAGATTGCTAAGCATAATATATTATCTTATACACAAATCCACATAAATGGCGGACGTCGACTTCCATTCTTATTCCTAGTTGGAAATCTAGTTTATTTTATATGACTGTGTTTAGCTCTAATCTCTTATACATTTTTCTTATCACTTAACTCTTATCTTAAATCTATAAATAAACGTATTTTCGCGAAGGTACCGAAAGCAAACGGTTCGTTATTAACCGTTTTGGCGATTTTTTAATGTCAAAACTATTTACTAAAATGTTTGCTCTCATCGCTAAACAGCTTTTCTGGCAGTTTGTAATGTTTGGTACCTACCTATGAAAATGCAAAGTCATTTTTGCAGCAAGCAAACAATCTTTATCAATCTAAACATTACCAGCACATGTCAGTAAAAAAACAGTAGAAATTTGCCCTAAAATGGGGTTCTAAACGTCAGCCAAACAAGTAAACAATGACAACATTGATAGATCATTGGGGATGATCAAACTAACAGTTGAATCCATGGAAGTTTTAATACATTGAAGATATGCGCTGTATATGTAGATATAATGGTCTGCTATATTATACTGTCATAAAACGGTTGAAAATAATTGAAATGTAATTATTACCGACTAATGTCGGTTCGGATTTGGTAGGAACATGGTGGAAATATCGATACCTATCAACGGGCAATTAACGAGATAAATATGAGCTAAAGGTCGACAAATCATTTAACCTAAGGTTGACTGACAATGTACACAATATTAGCAGCTAGATCGTTAAATAAATTGAAGTGTTTAGCTGATGTTTTGCATTTGATCAACTAAGTCGTTTCGATTAGTGAAAAACCTCATTAGAACCACACGGGCGTTTCATTGTGTTAAAAACAACAAGTCATTAATTCATTACATGTTTCCAACGACACGGGTAATTATGTATGCACACATTTTGGATAGGCGGAAAAAGCATTATAGGTGGGTTAGTAGTGCGTTTGTTCAAGAGGGGTCAAACTTTGTCGACAAAACAATAATTTTCTCAAATCAATACCGCAGTCGATAGGTTAAAAACTATAGAGAGGCATTTTTTTTTGTAAAATTTTGTTAGTATAAAAATTTTCTACCGTGTGTTTCGTTTACTCTTCTCAGTTTTTTTACACTCGAGCGTTTTTATTTAATATTTTTATTTATTAAATTATTCCATATTCAAATAATGGACAGGTAGGTATCGACAACACTGTTGGGTCATTCCGAATTTATAATCAACAAGGTGTTCGTATCCACGGCTTTTCTCTTTTTTTATTTAACCATAATTATTATTACAAATTCTAAATACTGATATATCAGTCGTAAACAACTATAAAAATTGTAATATTTTTTTATTATATTTGGGTTTAAAATGTGGAAAAAAGTATGAATTTAGCTGTGAACAAAGTAGGTGCCTACATTTCGCCATTACACAAGTATACTCCATTGTAAAAAAAATTTAAAAAAAAAGATGATGTTGATTATACATTGAATGGCCCTATTGGCAACTAACAGTTAATACTCGGTTGTGTTCATTTCAGAAACTTAAAAATTAGTTTGTGATGTCCACCGCAAATTATTAGGTTTGAATACATTTTTCTGTTAAAAATTGATCGTTACCAATCACTATGGCATGTTGCTTCAGTTCAATGAACACTGTGGAAATCATAGGATTCGTTTTTATTTGTGTAATATGTCTTAAGCTAACGCGGTTCGTACTAAAATTCTCATATCAAGAGCTTCTTGCACCGTTTCTACATTTCAACGTCGACTTTAAGAAAACTGGAAAATGGGCAGGTAAACTATTTCGTACAGCGCGTCGTATAACAATAAACTGCTTGAAAAAAAAAACTGTATACGAGCATTTGATCAAAAAAGTAATCACTATTAAAAATGATTAACCACATTTTTGTTTCATTTAAAGCCATCAAAAAAAGTTCACGGTATTATTTAAAAATGTTGTTAGAATATTGTATCTCTAGGTTTTATGCAAAACGCATAATTTAGTTATAATTAAAAATAACAATAATAACGATAATCATTATTATTATTATATCATCCATTTCAGAGCTTCTCTGGTCAAGTTCATAAATACTTTTATAGTCCTCCTATATTGAACCCGTATTAGTATATTTCAATTGTGTATTTTTGTAACATTCTGTTAATTTTAAAATATTGTCAGTCGAATAAATAAATATGATTAAATTTTCGACTATTACAGATTTTATGGTACCGATTTAATCGATCAAGCAGCTAACAATATGGTTGGTTGTCTTGATCTTTGGATAGCAAATTAATAACTGGCTTATCTATAATTATCCATAAAAACATATCAAATATATTGCACAAATGTTATGACTCTCAAATTAATACTGCTAAAGTCTAAGCTGATAACAGTGAGCTAATGTTCAATTTGAAATGTAATTAATTATATATAATATTAATAAATAAGTCATTTGCTACCTTTCAAACGGTTGGTTGTATTGATCTTCGGGTAAAAAAACCAATTTCAAACTTTGATTCATTTTATAATATTCTGATTAATGCTGTACTAGCATCTTTAATTGTCCATAGAAAGATGTATTTTTTACTGATTTTTCCACTGTCGAAGTTATTTTACCACTAAATATATGTTAGCGTTTTTATGATATAAAAAATACAGTTGATGCATTAAGTTGCATAGTAACATCAAAATCAATTTAATTTGCATTGTTTATTATAGTTATAACAGGTTCTACTGATGGAATTGGAAAACAATATGCCGAACAGGTATGCGGACATTAGTACTTGACTAATAAAACAATATATATATATATATATTGTTTAATTTAAAAAAATATATATTCATTCGACATTTTAACCCATCTTTTGTAGTTGGCCGGTAAAGGTATGGATGTGGTACTCATCAGCAGGACTAGATCCAAATTGGAGAGTACGGCCGATGTAATAAGTAAGTAAAGAATAAGATGAACCCAATTGTCAACATTATAATGCTGTTAGGATTGAATTATGAACTATGTGTATTACAAAGCGGGCGCTGAGTTTAGGCAATTAATAACGCACTTATGAATATTGTTACATACCAAAAAACAAAACATTTTTCAAATAAATCACAAGGAGATGAAATAGAAAGTTTTTCCACCTAAGACTTGTAAACTTGTGACCGAGTAAATTTTCAGGAAGTTGAATCGGTTACATTCAATGCATTTATTATAAATTGCAAATTGTTTTTCGTATGATTGCAAAAACCATACTTATAATGATTATAAAATTGAACCTTAAAGCAATTTCACACTAATGTTGTTAATATTCAGACTTATCAGCTACTATCCGGCAAACTGGCAAATTTTCTGGATATTTTTTTACCTAATTAACTAATTACGTTATTGCTTTCAATAAAGTACATTATAAATGTAGGCACATACACGTTTTGTAAAGGTAGCTGGTTACATTAACTTGAAATAAAAAAATAAATCCGGATAATTTGCAATTCTCCATTTAATTGTCTATACGATATCCGGATTTCTGTCTCAGTTCAAATTTATATTTCAGTAGTCTATCCCATTTTTACCAAATATTTAGAAACCAACAATTTTCGCTCCAGTTAACCGTCGTACAAGTTCGTGTAATTTAGATAAAGATTTTTACATTTTCTTTGACCCAACGACTAAACTAAAGAGGTGTAAAATCTACATTGCTGTAGAATTATTGCAAAAAAATGTACTACACAAATTGCCTAGTTGGCGTGCCTACATTTATTATTAAATAAATGGAAACTATTGTTATCAATACACTAGCTGTTTGAATGTTAGGAAACAAATACGGAGTGAACGCGAAAATCATAGAAGTGGATTTCACCGACAACAACCCTGATGCCATGTACGACCGTGTGGCAAAAGAACTGCGGGACTTGGATGTAGGAACGTTGATCAACAACGTTGGACTGTGCAATCCCTATCCGGATTACTTTTTGAACTTCGACCAAAACGATCCGCTGTACGATAACATCATCAAATGCAATATCGTGTCGGTGGTAAACATGTGCAGGATAGTTATGCCTGGTATGGTCCATCGCCGTCGGGGAGTAATCGTAAACGTGTCATCAGCGTCGGCCGAATTACCGTCTCCGTTGTTAACGGTTTACGGTGCTACCAAGGTATCTAACATTAAATTAAACTCATTAATAATTTAGTGATGGGAAAAAAAAATTTGGATTTTCATGAAATTTGGTTTTTTGGAATTTCGAAGTCCAACAAAAAAAAAAAATCCGGATTTCACGAAGAATCCGGATCGAATAACAAATCCGGATTTCATAGTTTCAACTTCAGAAACTGTTAGCTGACTCGTTCAGCATGACCACGTTTTTTTTAAATTAGTCGACTTATAATCCTCTATGGAATGCTATTATCGGACCCCTTCGACTAAATTAACTCAAGTCTTGTGTTTCTAATAAATTTTAACTTTCATATTATAAGTGTTCTGTGTTACAATTTTCACTATTTGTGATGTATTAAAAACATTTAATAGTTATTTTAGTTATATTTTTGTAGGTTTTTACATATTAAGTAAAAACCTTACTATTAATAAGAAATGACTGTCGATGGTAATTGGTCAAAACTAACGCAGAGTGATTTTTTTATCATGGGCTAAATAAGAAATTAAAATATTTTTTTGCATGTGGGTTTTATACAATGTCATCTCAATTTGTCCCAATTATTTTTGATAGCAATTTTTGAAACTTAAATGGTAACGCGTATTTTTGATTAACTTTTTAAATTTAGAATAATGTACTAAGATTTTTGACTGGTTCATAACCAGTTTTGCATAATTGTTCAAAAGTTAGGATGGTAGGAGACTTGCAAGCACTTGCTTGCAGATAAAAATAATACTACACTCCACCTTTTCTCCTGCCCTAAACTTGAAACTTCAATAACTTCAAAAATAGTTAACCGAAACTGGTATTCCCAATTTAAAAAAGTTAATAAAATATAATACACGTCACCATTCAAAATTTACAAGTCGCTGTCAAGTTGGGAGGGAGTAAAAATAAAAAATAAAAAGTTGTGAAAAATTGAGATCACATTATGTAAAAACAGTATGAAAAAAAAAAACATTTTAATTTCTTGTTAAACCCTATGAGATATTGAGTGGCCCATGATAAAAATATCACCCTGTATACCCTTAATTTATTATTAGAAGAAAATTAAAAATCCGGTCTACGGATTTAAAAGGAAAACTTCGAAATCCGGATTTACAACAAAATTCCGGATTCCGAAGTTGGAATTCATTAACTCCGGATTTCGGATTCCGAAGTTTAAAAATCCGGATTTTAGAACTTTAGAAAATCCGGATTTTCCCGTTACCAAACTAAAAATATTAAATAAACATTAATAACATGAAAGATTCGCCGCATTTCAAATACATATATCCCGTAGGCGTTTGTCAACAAGTTCAGCATCGACTTGGCTACCGAGTACAACCGACACGGTATTATTGTACAGTGTGTTACACCTGGTTTCGTCGCAACCAACATGAGCAAAATCAGAAAGGCGTCACTGGTGATCCCTAGTGCCGAAACGTTTGTCCAATCAGCTCTTCAGACTACCGGCATCAAAAACGTAACCGCAGGATATTTTCCACACTCTGTTTTCGTACGTACAATGGACATTGAATATTATATTAAAATAATAACATAGCTTTTGGGTGTTGTACGGCCTATGGACGTCATTACACCGTTAAAATTTGCAATCTCCTATCTAATAACTAATATATATATATATACACGTGTATTGTTAAAACTGTTTTAGATGAAATGTATTCAACTGGCTGAAGGCATATGTCGTCCATTTTTAGCTAAAATAGAAATTAAAGTTTTACTCGCAGCTCGTGAAAGATTAAAAAAACAAATGGTTCGCAAAGAACAAAAGAACTTGAAGGAATAAAAAACAATTGCTTATGGAAACGAATTATACACATATTATTCGTATTAAACTGGTACTTTCATTGTAAAACAATTGTTTTATACAATTTTATTATTTATTTAATTTCAATAAAGCAAGAATGATGTGTTATTACTTTATAATTATAACGTGCTAGTTAAAGCAGTATAAGAATACTTTAATTATGTATTTTCACAACAATATACGATAATTAAAAATGGATAATTAAATGAATACATTTTATTAGTAATGCCATTTTCAACTATTATGTGAACCTTCGATTGTATGAGCTTCGAAGACGAAAAAGTATGACAACATTGGTGGTGAGTTAATTGAGCAACAAATTACATAGAAATTGTAGTAGGTGATATTATTTTTTTGTACCCTGTAAGTATAAAGTTTACTATATTTTTCAGTTCTTAGAGAAAATTTACCTTCATTCCTTGAAGTTTACTTAAAAGTAGCATAGACTTGGTTTTATATTAGCATTTCATTAAAAAAAACATTAAAAAAATATGTTATGCTTTGTTGCCTGTACTCAACTAATTTCATACTATTCAATAAGATGTATTTAACATATTTAACTTGGATACCTCCGTCTTTCAGTCTAAATTAAAAATCATATAAGCAACCTTAATTATCGTTTAACTACAGCCAAGTATAATAGCCAATCGCATAACACTAATTGTAAGTAAAGTTGGCACAATCAATTAATTCGCATTGGTTATTACTTATTATATTTGTTGTAATTTATATATATATATATATATTCATTAAATACTTGTCTTGACCTTTTGTGGCTATTTTTTAATTTTGTTTAAGCAAAAGTTTAAAATTTCAAAGTAACAATATTTTTAGAAGTTAGGGGGGATTGGAATTAGTTGTACTGGCTTAAATTGTGCTTGATTTGAACTGTACTTGCTTTATTAATAAACTTCAAATTCATATTTTTATTTTTCGGTTAAGCAACTTAATTATAGCATTATTTAGTTTTAAACTAATACCATGACTTTAATTGCAGGTAGTGATTTTTTTTCTTTTCTTGTTTGGGCGAGTAAGTTTTAATTCGCTTTTTTGTAGAGTTGAATTTCGTAAAAAACCATAATTGATAATGATTGTTTTAATATGTTTTTTAAACAGAAAAAAGGGGGAAGGGGAGAACAATGTTATAATTAAACATTGGATGATATGCTATGATGGCACGTACATAACTTTCCTTAAAAATTTGATTTAATATAGTATTTTTATAGGTAAAAAACAGTAGGTGACCTTTTTAAGTAGCAGTCAGAGTAGCAAAAAAAAACTGTTAATAATTAAAGCTGGATCGTTTTGCACACTACAGTACTTAGTTAATAACTACTACAAAAATTGGATCTGTACTCTATAAGTATATTTATAGCAGGTAAAAATATCCATTACTAAAATATTCGATAACCAAAATAGCTGAAAACTGTATTGTTATGTTATATAAATTAAAAGTACCATATTAATTCTGTATTTTACTTATTTTCAAATGCTATTTTTAAAAGTGGCACGCTATAGCTGTGGTATGCTCGAGTAAAGCGACAGTAATCAAAGGCCGTCAACTAGTTAAACCTATTCAAAGTGTAAACTCGTGTCAAGCTAGTAAAATTAAAAATAATGTATTTTTTTTTTTTTTGGTATGACTTATTTATTCAAATAACAGAAGAGAAAAAAAAATTACATGAATAATTCGGTATTTGAGATATTGTCATCTTGTATGAGGTTGATTCTGTAACGTAATTATTGTACAATATGAATATAAATAAAAGCTCAATCAATAATAACAGAATACCAGTGATAAACTCACCTTAGTCTTTGAACTATTGAATCCACTGGATCGCATCTGTAAAATGCGAAAGTGGCGTCAGGACAATTAAGAAATGTGCCGAGTTTAGGAAAGTGTGTTTATCAACCACCAACGGTATAATAAATATAGAGTGTCGATAGCATGTTGTAAATGTGTACTTACGTTGAACGTACAGTGTAACGGCGGCTTTGTACTTCGCGGGGTGTCATTTAGCAAACAATACGGAACGATTTTGGGCTGCATGATCAGATATAGGCATAGCCACACGGGCAAGCTGTAGAAGAATATGATGTTTATAGCGAACTCTTTGCTCTTGTCGAACAGTCGAATGTTTCGGGACTTGGTGAACGGATGTACGACGTAACCCTTGCTGTCTTGCTGCACCTTACAGCCTATCAGCTGCTCTTCTTTGTAACAACGGAACTCGTGCAGCCAAACGCCGTTGCTGTAGACCACCCACAGCCAGTGGCTCTTGTACGGCGAGATGGCTTTCAGGAAACCCAGCAGGAACGCGAAGGCCGCGTACACGCCGAAAACGACCAGGCTGATGACGATCTTGTGGTGCTGTTGTACGATGATCTCGTTGAACGCGGTTACCGGCACGTCGCCGAGGAATCCGGCCTCGGTGTATTCCTTTTGGTCCAAGAACGTGGCCGACTTTTTCTTGTATACCTTGGCGCCGTCGTCGCCGTGGAAACACTTGCACTGCCAATGCCACAGGCAGTAACAACGGGAGTCGGGAATCGCGATGAACACTCTGGACGCCAGTTTGTTCATGGCCTTGTCGAACAACTGAACTAAAAATCGAGAAATTTTATCGAGACCCACAACGACACATCCCCACCGCCCAAAAGTAAACGCTACGAGCTAACCGACTCCGCCGGAAAAGTCTTCGGGACACGTCCTGGAGTCGAGCATGAACTCTGCCGTTTGCTGCGGATGGATCGTCGCCTTCCTGTATCTCTTGTCCCAGTACAGCAGGTTAACGGAAACCGTGCTCGACACTAGGCCCAAGTTCGTCAGTGACAGACGTATGCGCATCTTGTTCAAAATCGACGAACTCGTGACGAATATCTCGCTTATTTGCACCTGAGCCCTGCGGTCATCAGCAAGCGCACGGCGCGATTAGGCGATTAAAAATGGCCGTGATGAACGTCACGCACTTGTTTTGGATAACCGTGTTGACGTTTAGATCGATCTCGCCGACACCCTGTATCGACAGTTCTTGGTTGCCCTGCACGGGGAAATTGTCGATCGTCATCCGGTCCTTGTCAAAGTTAACCGAATCTCCTAGATACCGTTCGATGAAATGCCGGGCTGTACGGCCCGATAGCCGATCGCTGTCCGACTCCAACCACAAGTCGATGGGTTGTCCGTTCAGGCAGCTTCCCCTCGGCTTATAGCACCTGTCCGGTTGCTCGTAAAATGCTTGTTGCGTGACACCGATTTTGTTACACTCGTTTCCGGTCGGCGTGAAGTCGCTCCGGTCGACCACCAGTAATTTATTGGCGGACGCTGAAAAAGAAATCCCATGACAACCGTTGAAAACCGAACCTGCTGCTTGTCAAGGGACTAGGGTTGACGAATCCGAGTACCGTCCAATTTAGGCAATCCCTTTTGATAAAACATTGGCACATCTTGCGGTATGAGTACCAAAACGTTCGCCATGTTGATCGGCTGGCTATCGATTACTTGTTTCTTCGGCGTGTATCTGTCGAGAGAACAACAGTTTCAACATTGTCAACATTTAGAACAAAACCGAGACAACTGACTTCGAAAGCGCATCCTTTGAGACCCAATTGTTGCGTTCGTTCTTTTCGTACAAGTTCAGAGCTATGGGCAGACATACCTGGGGATCTTCTATTTCGTAGACGTTGTACCTGATACCCAAGAAACGACGGCATTCGATTTGTGAATATAACAACACTGCATTTTGGTACTTACCACAGGTCACTGTATCTGAAACAATGCGAGCTTTCATAATAGGTTTGCGGATCAGTGTAACCGGGGCGAGCGCTAATATTTTTACAGTGCTGCCCTCCTCTCGGTTGAACGTCTTTACGAGTATTACAAATTTCTTTCATGTCACTCACATCATGAACACTTGACAGCTGCCTGGGCTGACGAGACAGGTTAACGGCATCGGAGCAAGAACAACAAAATCCCTACAAAGTCAATCGACTAACTGTTAATCTCAATCCGCTATTATCACATTCCAGCTCATTTTTAAAATGTACTTCTGTAAACGGCAACGGATCGCTTAGACCATAAAATTGGGTTCCACACGTTGGATTGTCTTTGCCCGCGTTGCAGCCAAAGTAGTTTTCTCGATTTTCGTTGTTTATCACTTCTTCCGTCGGCTTTCCGTTGACGAACTAAACAATTAGAAATGTCTACATAATATTGGGACCTTTGTCAGTGCAATCGGCGAGTGAAAAATAATAAAAAAACTTACGTTTATCCATTTCAGATGGTAGATATGACCAGGTTTGTTTAGTTGAACTTTAAGGACAATCGGTTTTAACAAGCGACGCATAGTGTTGTTCAAGTCTGTGCTCATCCGTACTTGCCTAATATAAAACACCTGAATCCAATTAATCAACATTAGTTTGATCCTACCAAATCATAAGCGACGTGCAAAGTCCTGCTTACATGAATATCGCTGATTTTTTCGATTTCCAAGTTCACCACCACTTTGTTAGACTCGTCCACGGTTATGTCGGGCCCGGCTTCGTCTAGATACTTGACTATAGTCTGACAATCGGACCCGTTGCAAGGCGTTTCTATGCATTTCAAATGCAAATTGTCGCCATTCGAACCGGTACACAAATAACCCGTAAGATTACTAGCAACCCGTAAAAAAAGGCCAAACAAGGTGATAAATAATACAGGATTTTCCATTGTTCGGATGTCATCGAAAACAATGTTTTAAATTCAATAAACAACATAGTTACATACACTTACCTACCGAGCAACGGTGTGCGCCAACACGTTCTCGAAACGTTTAACTATTAGTATTTTCAAACACAACATCCACTAAGTGGCATTATTATAAATATTTAAATACTTTGAATAAATAGAAAATCGTTTAGAGCTTCTATGATTGTTATATATTGTTTATAAATTCCCGTTTTGTCAGAATTTTCAAGTCACTTTTCAAGAATTTTAAAACCGGAGGTATATCTTTATTAATTCACCTCCATGATCTATCCATCACCCTCCTTCGTAATCCATAATGATGTCAACACTGTTACACAAAACGTGACGGACACATTTTCACAATGACCCGACCCATAAGACATATCCATGTCAAGACAGTTGTGAGACATGGAATGGAAAAAAGCAATAGAATGGGGTTGGGGATGGGGATGGGAATTGTAAAATTGTAGTTGGTATTTATCAGCAGAACTAGATCTAAATTAGAGAGTACTGACAATAACATAAGTATGTATAGTAACAATGGCCAAGGAAAACAAAGCTAGGACACCTAGCAAAATACCCTTTAATAAGACAAATGGAGATCGAAAATTAAATTATTTTTAATACAGCGTGGTTAAACATTTCATTTTGATCTAAATAATGTCAAAACGTAGACAATACAAATTCAAAGTAATAATTGTGAGAAATTTGGACGAATTAAGTTATATTTATGGCATAAAAATGCCGTCAAGTCGGTCTTAGGTGTCATTAGCTTCGCATGGTTTTTTGTTTCTCTTATGATGTGAGTTTCTCTTTATCTATTTAAAACAATAAAAATGATTTTATTATGATTCATATTTTAATTCATGGTGCATGCCGAAAGCCAAAGTAACTACTATAGTTTATCACTTATAAAGGCGAGCCACTAAAAAATAATTAAATGAATCGAATAAGTTTTTGTTCCTCAAAGCCTAGGAAAAATACTTAAGATATTTGATCCCTTCACTTTTATTGATGGGTGACCAATAACTACATATCATTGAAAAAAAATTGTTTTTCTAAATTTTGTTTAGCCCCTTCACACGACGCCCGTAGATCTATAAACGCAATCGAAGGCTTTTTTAGGAAATTAGAAGTCGATTAGTAATGATTCAAGATTTAGTCAATATAAGTTGGCTAATTCTTCAAGAAACCATCATGCACTATTATGTGCAAGTATTTTGTATATGCTCATTGTTTCATGACAGCATAATTGTTATATTCGTTTACTTAAATTCAATTATTCTTAGGAAAAAATATTTATTTTATACTATTTTTCTTAATATCCATTTCTAATTGTATATGGTGCATCGATTTTTAGAAGAAAAAAAATTTGCGATGAAGGGTAAAATTATTTATTGGTATTGTAATTAAAATTTTAGTATGTTCAAACCAGTTATAGCGGTTTAGAAGATATCGTGAGACCAGCAATAATGTACTTAAAATTTAATATTTAGTCTTGTGTAGGGTGGATACGATAAGGGTCTGTCTATAAAAACGTACTATCATAATTACCCATTTATCGTAATTAACAATATAATGAAAATATTTTCATTACCTGTTGACTGTTCATTGACTCACACATAGCAACCTAGAAACTGATTACGGCCAAAGTGTAAATTTACCCTATTTTTGGGGGTTTTCCTAAATAAAAAAAAAATTTGAAAACAGATTTTTGTGAAAATTGTATATGTTGTGGATCCATTTTAGATCTACCTTCGGTCTAATTTTTAGATCTAAATCTCAAAAACTTTGCTTGAAAAAGTGAAACAAAGAAAAAAAATTCTATCTCTTCTAAGGGAAAAGGTTTATGATATTTCATTGGTTTGTTAACGTTTATCGATAGTACTATGTTTGAAAAACAATTCATATAAATTTGGAACATTTTCGACTATTTTTAAAAAAGTTATAGAGCGTTGTATTTTCAAGTTGAAAAATTTGTAAACTTTTTAGGTGTTTTTATCGATTTTGATGGAGGAGGGGTGACATTTTTTTATTTTTTGGCCCGATAAAGTAACTTCCAGGTATGATTTCTGATTTATAAAGTTGCTACACGAAGAAATCGGTTAGGTTAGGTTACGTATAAAACACTTATACTTGCAAATTAAGAACAATGATATTAAGATAATAATGCTTGTTATACAAGAAGTTACATTTATTCGCTTGGGAAAAAATCAACCTTGTTTGTTGTTTCTTTGTTAATAAAACTTCTAAAAAATCTAAACGTCGTTAAAGAAGTAGTGTATATTATACCATTCTAAGTCTACCGAGTACCGTGTTGGTATACACAATATTAGTTTTTTACTTGTATTTCAAAATAATCCTTTATAACGCTTGAAGATTGTGTGTAAATTACCAGTGCTTCAATAGCAATGGAAACTAAAACGTTAATACTTCAAACACTGAGCACAATCAGCCATGCTATTGCAACATTTTTACTACGCTTCATGTGGGCTTTATACAAAGAGAAAATGTTTTCAATTTCGGAAATCATTTTATTTGTTAAAACACTATTTTAGTTGCAATTTTTTTAAACATTATGAACAAAGTGTCACATTTTTTACTAAAATGTTTTTAATTGAAAATTGTTTTATAGTTATTTCGTACGAATTACCTTTACCTCAGTGCACGTCCAGCTTTCGTTAAAATTTTAGTTGAAAAAGCCTTGCCCGTGGAAGGTTAAGCCAAAATTTAATATGTTCAACTTATTTAGGAAATGCCTCGATATTCAATTTCGTATAGGATTACCTTTTTGTTTAATTATATGAGTCAAGTTTTTTTCAATTAATATATAACACTGATATAGAGTCCCCAATGTCATGTTAATAAAATGTTTGATCAACTTACAATTTTCCAATCATTTTCCTAGAAATTAATTTCAGGTTGTCACTTTTTATATATATTTTTTTTTTACAGTATTCAGTCATCAGCTAACTATTTGTTAAGATAACCAATATGACCTAATTATCCTAGGTAATCAAAATATAAGATATGTTGTTAAAGAAAAAAATCACGATCTACACCTGACTGTAAACATTTTTTAAAAAATATAATAAATAAAAAAAAAAATATTATAATTGTAAATTTATTAACAAACCAATAATAATTAATTGTTTTAAATAATAAATTACCCACATATCGTATGTACCACCATTTGTTTTATTACAAGAAAATAACGTAGTAACTTAAATTTAAATAACAACATCAAATAATAATTTCACCTCATAACGTACAATTACTTTTTTCCCCAAAAATAAGACAAAATATAACAAATGGGGGTATACGTACCATATAAAACATACACCTCCATTTATTTTATTACAAAGAAGTAATTAATGTTAACATTGTATCTAAATTGGACATAAATAATGAGAAAAAATGGTATTTAAGAAATATTTTTCGATTAGAAAAATAGATTTTAAGTAAACGATAGTACAATTATGTTGTCAAGAAATCTTCATCATATGCATAATGGTTTCATGACAAAATAGCAAACTTATATTAACTGAGTATTGAATCATAACTAATCCACTTCTAATGTCCTAAAAGAGCCTTCGATTGCGTTTCCAGTACTATCCAAGATGTTATTGGAATTTTTTGGCCGTTTACTATTATCTGCAACAATTGTCGATTGGGTTATTAGCCATTCTCGGTGCCTTATCAACTCATTATGCCATTCATCTGAAATTCAAATATATACATTTTTATACAAATCAGATTATTTAACATTGGACATTCGTGTATAATAAAATGAATAAATCATACACTGTATACTAGGTGGAATTTGGTGAAATATGATAAATTATTCAATTATAACAAACGACCTTCAGGCATGAGAAGCTATAGTAGTTTCTTCGCCGTTTGTGACCGTCCATCCTCATACTTATATTATACTAAATAAATTTATATTTTTTGACTAATATGAATTTGAACTAACCGCATTGATTTATTAATTGCTGATTTGTAATTTGCTAATGACACCTAAGACTAACTTGACTGCTTTTTATACCAAAAATGTAATTACATTACAATGTTACATATAATATTTAAGGTAATTTAAGGGATTTTAAATCTAACCAGGACACTTACCTATTATTTCGTCCAACGTTTTTGGAAAAGTTCCTCCGTAGTTAGGTGGAAGAATACTAGGATCAATGTAATTTTTCAATTCTTCAATGGATTTGTGAAAAAACACCTAAAATATTAATATGTCATTGAGATAATTCTAAATAACTCATAAAATATGATTAATTTACCCTGTCGGCAATTTTTTTTTTTACAAGCTTTAATGATATATTAGTTAATGGTTGTAGGAAACTTTTATGATTGATTACATGTATTTCATGTATCCGAATAGGGTATGCCACCTAAACATAATAATACATATATAATACGAATATGACATTATACACCTATTTGTTGTGAATAATATTTACTATATATATTCACAATATGTAATTAATATATACATATTGTGAACTATAACTAATAATTAATTTATAACATCATTTTATATTTCGAAAGTTTATTTTATTAAAAAATCACTAAACTATTAAATTAATATAATTTTTTTAAAACAATCCAAATAATAACCCTCAATAATGAATAATTTTTTATACACGAAAAACTTTATTAAAATAATACTTGATTTTTTTCCTAATACAGACCTATATAGTACAATATCTAAAAACAACTTCAAATGTATACAATTAACGCTAATCCACGGAAAGGGTTGAAGAATATTATAAATACATGTATAATTATCAATAATTATCTATCAGGCTAAATGTTCAGAAGCTGTACCGTGATGTCACTCGAAATACACTAACGATGTCCAAAAAATTATTTGTTTTAACTCTAATAGAGCTATATTTAGATATATAGCACAAAAAATAAAGATAATATTTACAGTGTAGCGTCAACTATGTAAGCTGTGTAAATATGTATTAATCCTTATTATAGCCTAATTTATAATAGCCTGAAACATAAATGGTAACGTACGTGTGTCCTTACATTTTGATTTTCTGAATATAAGTCACAGAAGTAATAACTCCAGAATATAAAATTTAAATTTGAAGTATATGTACACTTTCATTATTTAATGAGTGTTCATAAAACGGATCAAATTTTTTGAATCCCTCTAGTAAATTTAAATAGTTATGTTTAGTTCTTAAATAACAAGTATATATATCTATATTTATATATATAAATTAATTAATAAATTCGTTCTTTACTTTTATATTTAAAAAAAATACTTACAAATGCACTTCCAAATAATTTCTTAGTATTGGGTAACATAGCTGTTACGTGATTCATTGAACAATTGTTCGAATCAAATATGAATATATTCTTATTAAAGCTGTCTAACTTGGCGATTCTCAGATCAAATGTCATCGCACACAATTTAACCGCGTCATTAAACACATATTTATCGACATCTTCATTTCTAAGACAAAACACGCTAACTCTGTGGCCTTCATGTGTAGGGTTTGGTAACGGAACATTGGAACTAAAAAAAAAGATGATAATTAAATATTAGTAAATTATTCATGTTATTTAGGAACGTTTAATCAAAATATAATATAAAAGTATGATACTGACCATATTTTCATTGCTTGAAGTATCTCTGGAGAAGTCGGATCCAAATTAGAGGAGTATTCTGGTAATAAGACCTTTATAGAGTAATACTGGTCCAACTTTACTTTGGTTTTCTCCAAACTATTCTTGCACATGATCAAAAACATTTTGATTCGTTTTTCATCTATTATCTTTCCCGCATCTAATAAATAAATTTATTGTTTGGTGTGTGATATTTTTAGCATAATATTGCTACGAAAAAAAAATGTTTTTGGAAAAAAAATGTTTTTGGAAAAAAAATGTATCTAAAAATAATATATTTTACCGTCTGGGTTCGGAAGGTGAGGCTGTTTTCGCATCCATTCTTTTAGAAGTTTCACGTCTAGATCTATTTGTGTCTCAGAAGTACCCAAGTCGCTATAGATTTTACTGATTGTGCTTGGTGTTGGAAGTACCAATGTATTAGTTTCCATTGCTATTGAATTCCTGGTAATTTACACGCAATCTTAAAGATATTAAAGATTCATTTAACATACTAGTTAGAAACTTTTATTGCGTATACCAGCACGGTACTCGGTAGACTATGAATGGTATAATATACACTATTTCTTTAACGACGTTTAGGTTTTATTAACAAAGAGACAATAAACAAGGTTGATTTTTTCCCTAGCGAATAAATTTAACTTCTTATATAACAAGCATTATTATCTTAATGTTAACATTGTTCTTAATTTGCAAGTATAAGTAATTTTATTTTTTTTATTAGTTTATTATAATAAATTTTTTTTTTTTATGGTAAAATAATAAAAACCAATTGCAACAAAAATAAAACATTGTAAAATCAATAAAAAACAATTCTAGTCATGAAACTTTTTTTTAAACTATGTAGAATACTTAACAATCATAGACAAACAAATATATGCACAATTTACAAATTTTCTTTTATAATACCGGATTGTGTTGCCTCAGGAAACTCTTTTCTGTACTATTCAATAACTTGCAACAAGTTTTGTTGCTGATCATCATTTTTAGTTACAACATCATTAAACTTTTAAATTAGCGTAACTCTCTACTGCATAGTTTATAACTTTTAACTTTTTTAAATTTTCACGAGCGTGAATGTACGATAAGTCTTCTTCCCATTGAAGAGGGTCTAATAATTCTAAAATATTTCTAGACTTAGGTCTAAAAACAATAATATTACACAGTAAGAAAATGGTTTGGCTTTGTTAGGAAACAAGAATATCGTCATAACGCCAACGATTAATAAGTACATGATGTTTTCTTTAAAAACTATTATTAGTTGCCAAATTAGTCACGACTAATGCATTGTAGTGATGTAATTTTTCTTCGGGGTCTAATCAATGTAATTGTTATCTCTGCCGTTACTTTTGGTGCAGTCATCCTCAGTTTAAAATATAATCAAAATGCAACAACCGTTTTAATTAAAACTTATCTTATCGTATTCCAAATTTTCAACAAATTTTTGGATTATAATTGTATGAGATAAAAAAAACCTGTGTAATAATCATGTTACCATATTTTCTGGCGGAACCACCTTGACGGGCTCCATTCGAATGTTGGACTGCATAGGTTTTTTTTCCTACACTTACTTCGTATATACTTACAATATAGTTTTACATTTAATACTGATTGAAATTCATGCATTTCAATTGCACTCTAAAGCACCCACGACATTGTTTTTCTACATTTTGCATACTAATTTCGGTTTTTTTTTTTTGGTTGCGCATATTTTTTTTTATATTAGTGACGTGTAACAATTGGTAAGTGTCCGACAGATGATATTTTTTATAATCGTTATAACTTTGCATTGATGAATATTAAAATCTATTAAGAAGAAAATGGCATTTCATAACTTTCTAGCTGTACGTTTTTTGTTATAATTCATTTATGTATCAATACAACAATATCTAAAACGTGCACGCCCACATCTATTAAGTTTATTAGCATGTCATTATTTATCTCCTTCTTTATACTTATGAAATTGAACTTTTTATCTTATATTTGTAAATAACATTAGGCGTGTTTTAGTAGTTAAAGTAACTTTGTTATCCAACATATACTATATGTTTCTTTTCTTTTTTTTTTTTTATTGTAAATAGTGATCATATTTGAAACCGCAAAAAAATCTATAGTAAGTTAACGCTAAGTTTAGATGGCACCAAACCAGGAAAACTTTAAAATAAAAAATATAAAAACAACATTATAAATTAGTGAAAAAATGAAATTGTAATTTTTTTTCTTTTGTATTCTTTTTTTAATATTTACAAGTTTTTAGAGAAATTTGTATTACTTATATGTAATATTTAAAAATTATTTTATACATTTATATATATATATATTACACACCCAGTTAAAAAGTGATACAACTCAGAACATGTTAATTTTCAAATATCTCATTTGTTAAAATAATTCAGCTGTAGTTTATTTTACCAGCTATGATATTGCTTTTATGGGGAATGCACGCGGTCTGTTTTTTAGAAGGATTTTTAGTATAAAATAAAACTTATTAACCGACGTGCAAATGAAATACTTCATAATTAAATAACCGTAGAGAGATGAGCTCTTTGCAGGGTGATCCAACTAACGTAAGACACTCATTTTCTTGGAAAATATGAATATTTTGAGAATTTCTAAACTTTTAGGTACACATTTTACTACATTTTTCAATATTTAGAAATTTTTTATCTTCAACCCTTATACGTTATAGAAGTACGAAACTCGTTTTTTTCAAATGGAAACATATGTTTTTAATTCCATAGGTATGTGGACAATTTTTTTAAAAAAATGTTAGCGTTTGAATTTTCAATATATATTTAATTCAAGAGACAAATTTGTATTTTTATTCATCCCTTGAAAAGTTATATAATTTGTATTTGAAAGAGATGAAAATATTACTCCGCGTTTAATGCAGCGGCCATTTGACCATGTCATTAAATAACACTGATTGACAACTAAATTGATTTACTAATACAACTAGTAATACAACTAGTATAACACAAACATATTTTTGAAAAAGACTAAAAACTTAAGTTATTTTATCACGAAATAACACACTTTTTGACGCCGTTGAAATTCATGGTATATTTTTCTAGACTCGTGTGCACCAGTACAATGTACATGGAATATGTGTTATCTATTGCACTGGACACGGGTGATACTAATCATTATCATGCAAAAGGTGTACACTAGACGTGCAACCAGATGGAAAACGCTATAGTGTAATCGGTGTTCGATACTGATAAACCTACTTCCCAGTAATATGTCAAATATCAAAAATATATTTACAAAATGTTCACTATTACCAGTGGAAACAAGTTTTTGCTCGTGAAATCATTATGTTTATCAGTTTTCATCGTACATTGTAGAGCAATATAAAATGTAGTCGCAAATTAGGAAATATATAAACACAATTGACAAAACCGATTGATGAAAATTAGAAATTCAAACGTTAAAACTTTTTTAAAAATTTTGTCTACAGATTTATGAAATTAAAAATATACGTTACCATTTAAAACACCAAATGCGATAAATGTTTTACATATAAGGGTCGAAGATACGAATATTCTAAATATTGAAAAATGTAGTAAAATATGTAGCTAAAAGTTTAGGGAAAAAAAATTCTCAAAATATTCATATTTTCCGAGAAAATGGAGTGTCTTACGTTAGTTGGATCACCCTGTATATTAAGCCAACAAAAAAACAAATATTAATTATTTTGTTTGTTAGTTGAATTTTCAATAAAAATGAATATAGTTTTTTTTTTTTTTGTTTTAATTTAAATTGAATAATTACTATTTGACCTTAGTTAAAAAAAAAAATATTGTAATAAATAATTAATTTCTGTGAATATGAATGCACAATGAATTAAATCGATTTAATTAATGAATTTCACATAAAAATCGAAAAACTAAAAAAACAAAAATTTATTCTGACGATAAAACTTGGACAAGAAATAGTGTTTGTTATGCCATCCTTAGTGTACCGAGTAACGTGTTTGTATTATTTTTAGCAAAAAATATTTATTTAATACTATTTTTCTTAATATTAATGTCCAGTTGCGTAATATATGTTATTTCCTTGTAGTAAAACAAATGGTGTTATGTAAGATATGAGAATAACTTTTTCACTTCTTACATTCTTTCATATTGTTACAAATTTCCTATTAAATTAGTCGCATGGGAAAAAAACAAACAACCTTGTTCATTGTTTCTCTGTTGATAAAACTTCTAAAAAATTTAATTTCGTTGGAGAAATATTATACATTATACTATTCTTAGTCTAGTGAGGAACGTGATTGTATGTGCGATAAATAGATTTTGTTTAACTAGTATTTCAAAATAATCCTTTATAACGTTTGAAGGTTGTGTGCAAATTGCCAGTGCTTCAACAGCAATGGAAACTAAAACGTTAATACTTCCAACACCTAGCACAATCAGTAAAATCTATAGCGAGTTGGGAACATCTGAGGCGAAAATAGATCTGGACGTGAAACTTCTCAAAGAATGGATGAGAAAACAGCCTCACCTTCCGAACCCAGACGGTATTTTTAGTAATAATTTGGTTTCCAGGAACATTTATTCTCTTAACAATATTATGCTAATTAATATCCCATACCAAACAGCTCTATTGTTTATTAGATGATGGAAAGATAATTGATGAAAAGCGAATCAAAATGTTTTTGATCATGTGCAAGAATAGTTTGGAGAGAACCAAAGTAAAGTTGGACCAGCATTACACTGTAAAACTCTCAATACCAGAATACTACTCTACGTGGGATCCGTGTTTACCCGAGATAGTTCAATCGATGAAACTGTCGTTAGTACCTGATTTGTGTACATGTCTATTATATTTAGTGGATTTGACTACCGCTAGTCGTTTTAATAGATCAAGCAGCAAGAAATTTCTATTTTTTGTGATGTTTTTGCAGCATTTTTTATTACGCTTTATGTGCGTTCTATACAAAGAGACAATGTTGGAAAATATTTTATTTGTTGAACATCGACTATTATCGATTTATATAGATTGATAAATATACTATTTCAGTAGACGTTTTTTTTTTTTTTAATATTACGAACAAAATATCAAATTTTTACTAAAATATTTTTAATTGATAAAATGTTTTTTAGTGTTTTCGTACCATTGCCAAGGCCTACACACGAAGGCCACAGGGTATGCCTCTATTGTGTTCGGACGAAGGATGACGATAAATTTGTATGTAATGATTTTATGAAATTATGCCAGATGTCTTTTGATCTTCGATTAGCTAAGTTAGACACATTTAAGAAGGATATATACATATTTGATTCGAACAATTTTTCAATGAATTACGTGACTGCAATTTTACGCAATATCAAGAAAATCGTTGAAAGTTCATTTGTAAGTATTTTTTTACATTTAGCTCAAATTTGACGTACTAGTACATAAATAATTGTTATAAATGTAGAATTTTCGTACAAAAACTCAACTGTAGGTATTATTACAAAAATATTATATTCTAAAATTTGATGATGGATGTTTAACATGCTCTATTATTGTCATCGTACAAGCAGGGTACATATATTAATTACAGTTAGCCCTACACTTATCAGGATCAGAAAATAAGTATAAACTCAAGTTTATAATATTATAGTAAGGTTGTCAAACTAGAAAATTGAATTCATTTAAATTTATTATTAAGCAAAAATTTCGTTTACAATTGAGAAAATTACCTAAAAATGTAAATGTTTTTCTATTTGAAATACGTTTTACATTTTCGTACATTTATTCGTTTATTATTTGCTTTTAAATAGCGCCCTTCTTAGATATACCACAGCAAAAAGAAATACTTGTTAGAATTAAAAATAATTTTTAGTTTAAATTTTAACCAGAACAATTAGACAAACAATATCTTATTTGTATTAAATTATATTTATTATTGTATTTAGATGGCTTACCCAATGCAGCTACATGAAATTCACGTAATTAATACAAAAAGTTTCATACAACCATTAATAAACGTAACATTAAGTCTTCTGAAACATAAAATTTCAGGAAGGGTAAGAAATCATTCATATTTTAAGAGTTGTTTAGGAATATAGTAATGAAATATTTATAATAAAGGTGTTAATTCACAAATCCATTGAAGAACTGAAAAACTACATCGATCCTAGTGTTCTTCCATTTAACTACGGAGGAACTTTTTCAAAAACATCTGAGGAAATAATAGGTTAGTGGCCTGTAATAATTATTAAAAACAACTATACGATTTTATTTTAAATTGATAACTTTTAGAAAGGGTTTTCTAATAATCTATGATAATTCTATGTGTGACTACAATACCTGTAATATTGCATGTTACTATAAAAATTATATTTTTGGTATAATAAAGCCATCAAGTTGGTCTTAGGTGTCATTAATTATGCATGTTGTTTTAGTTTTAACGGGGAAAACTACTTTCAGGTTTTTACTCGTCTGAAGATAATTAACACAAAAATGGCAGGCACTATTCACAAATAAATGCGTACAGTTTGCTTATTTAATTATAATTCATATTAGTTGAACAATATAAAATATTTTATTTTAATTAATATTAATTTTAATATTATATGTATAGAGACGGAAAGTAACTCCTCTAGTTTACCACGCCCAAAGTTCGTTTGTTAAAATTAAATAATTTATATAATTAAACCAAATTCCGCCTGGTCGTCATTCATTTTATTATATACGAACGTTGTTAATTATACAATGTTTAATAATCTAATTTGTATAAAAATTTATATAATTGAATTGCAGACGAATGGCATAATGAGTTGATAAGACACCGAGAATGGCTTATAACCCAAACGTCGATTGTTGCAGATAATAGTAAACGCCCGAAAAATTCCAACGACAACTCGGATAGTATTGAAAACATAATCGAAGGTTCGTTTAGGAAATTAGATGTCGATTAGTAATGAATCAAAGATACAGTTTGCTAATTCGCCAAGAAATCTGGCAATATTGTGCACGTATTTTGCATAATATTCTATTAGTTTCACGACAACATTATTTTAAAGTCGCTTACTTGAATTTAACTGTACTAAACGATAAATATTTTTTGAATTATATTTATCTTAATACTCATGTCTAATTTTATATGGTCATAGTTTTTAAGTAAAAATGTTTTGTGGTGTAAGATGAAATTAATTATTGGTATTGTAATTTCAAATTTTGGAAACAATGTTAACAATAGCTACTTCTTTGTAGCAAAACAAATGGAGGTGTATGTTACATGTTATGGTATGTTCACCACCATTTGTTATAATTGGTTTTCTATTCGACGAGAAAAGTATTTAAGCGTTATGAGGTGAAATTGTTACTTGGTGTTGTTATTTAAATTTAAGAATAAATGTTTTTTCCTTGTAATAAAACAAATAGTTGTAAATAAGATAATGCTCTTTACAGTATTGTTGCGACTTACATTTTTACTATGGTCATGATTATTATGTCGATGACAAATATTCCACGCAAATATCGGAGTGTCCCCCAGCCCAATAACATACCCATGTTAATATTAAATTGTACACAAAGTATATTTTGGAATGATTAATCGTCAACATCATTAGAATTTATAAATTTATTTTAATTTTCTCAAACTGATATAGAAAATATTGCGTAAAAGTATTTTAAGGTATTTCACATCAAAATTATTTAATTATTTATACACAATTGCATTTTTTTTCAAGTCGTGTGAACCCATTTAAAGGGAGTCGGAATCGAGTATATATTTGATTGCATTATTATGGTACACACAATCGAAAAACCAATTTATTTGTCTGAAACCCACGTGTCTAAATATGCCATTTTGCATGTTGTGAATGAACGACAGCATTTTACTATCGTTCGTGATAACTTTATCTTTCAACGCGTCTGCCGAATAGACCTCCTTGGTCAACTCGATAAGGGTCTTGGCGTTTTCGGTGATTTCATTGTCCGAGTCGGCCATGACAGTTCCGATCAAAGTGTCCAAGTAGGCTATCGCTCGTTTGATGTGGTCCGTTGTCACAACTCCGACCGAAGTGTCGAAAAATTCGCACAAATCGTTCAGCTCGGCATCCCTGTGCAGATCCAAGGCGCTCTTAAAGGTCCTCAACGAGTGTCCGGGTTTGATCCAACACAACCAGATAACAGACGGTTTCCGGACGATCATCTCGGTGTTTTTTTGCGACAACCGATAGACATAACTGTGAAACAGCGACACGTGCACCTTGACGTAACCGTTAATCGACGCTTTGGCGGCCAACACGAACGAGTCTCTGTAGTTTTTCAACTCTCGATACGACTGACATATCCAGTTGTTCGAAAACGCCACCACAGCCTCCCGGTAGGATTCGGCCAGCTTGAGGGAAGTCAATCCCCAGTCGACGGCCGCATCTTTTGCCTGAATCGATTCGATTTCGTACGGATTGCCGCCGGCGTGGTTCATGAACAGATTACCGGGTTTGTAGTAATCGGCCGCCGTACTATCCGCTGGCGAATTCCGGGAGCCCGTCTGGTTTTTCACAATGTCTGTCATGTTGTTGACCTCTGTCAGGTAGATGTTCATCATGTGATCGGCTTCGAACGGGATGGGATCTTCGACACGGCCGTCGTCGGATTCCTCGAGGTACTCTAAGATTTTAGCTTCGACGGTGGCAGTCGCTTTGGCGAACAGTGTCGTCAACTTGTCTTGCCCGGGATTGGGCGTTTCGAACCAAGTCTTTCCGGGCCTCATTACCCATACAGCCGAATTAGCCAAGACGCTGAGCTCCCACAGCCATAAGACGTCGTGCTTCTGACAGGCGGCCATCAGCCGAGCTATCAGCGAACCGTAAGTGTGCATTTTGCCAAGCGCATTTGGCCGGTGTTGGTCGTGTTCGATAAGCGTACGGGACAACCTCAAAAACAAAACTGAGATTTTACCCGCCGGCACCAGTGTGTTTTGTCTATCGCAATTTTCAGTTTGGCCGAATGCCGTAACTGCGATCAGCAGCACAGACAATATCCACCGGAACGACATCGCTTATAGCACAATAACATAGCTATTGTTTTCCAACAAGTTCAACAAATAACACACGCACACACATACTTACGTACATTACAACTGCAGCGCACTTGCGTCACATTAAAAAAAATAAATGTACAGGATGGTTAGCTAACCGGACAGGAGTAATTATTTTTCATGCACTTGACTTTTTAAACATTAGACGCGTACTACTCGACTTGCTACCACTCCCTACGTCAACTTTAAATGCTCTAAGCAAATAAACTATATAAACACTGTAATGTTCATGTATAATCACCCTATATGTGTAACTGCGACCCTGAGTAAAATTTTTATCCTATAGTATTTTCCAAACAGCACAACATTTTTTTTTTAAATATTTACTTTTATGCTTTGCCGTTTGTGTTAACAATGTGTTATTTGGTTTTTTTTTTGTGTTTCACTCGACTAAATTCATTTTGTTGACGTTTTTTTTTTCTTCAATTTTAACTAAACACAATCCATGATAATTACAATATAAGAAAATTAAATAATAGCTATAGTTAAATAGAATCATGGAGAGGCGCGGTGGTCGCGGTGAAGGTCCCGAATGACGTATATTAAGCCAAGAAAAAAAATACTAATTATTTTGTTTGTTAGTTGAATTTCCAATTGAAATGGGTATAGCATTTTTTATTTGATTTAATTTAATTAACTTTTTGTGTGTTTTATATTTAAATTGAATAACTATTACGTAAGCTTAGACGAAATAAAAAATTATTAAAATAAAATATACATTATATTTGAATATGAATACACAATGAATTAAATCGATTTAGATAATGAATTTCACAGAAAAACTAAAAAACTCATAAACAACCTTGTTCATTGTTTCATTATTGATAAAACTTTTAAAAAACTAAACGTCGTTGAAGGAATAGTGTAGGTTATGCCATTCTTAGTCTACCGAGTAATGCGTTTGTATATGCATTAAATAGTTTTTTTTAGCTTGTATTTAAAATATCGCTTGAAAATTGCGTGTAAATTACCAGTGTTTCAATGGAAACTAAAACGTTAATACTTCCTACACCGAAGACAATTAGTAAAATCTATAGCGAGTTGGGTACTTCTGAGACACAAATAGATCTTGACGTGAAATTTCTCAAGGAGTGGATGCGAAAACAGCCCCACCTTCCCAACCCAGACGATAAAATGTATTATTTTTATTTTTAGATATTCTCTTAATATTAAACACCAATCAATACAATTATTTCTTAGAAGACGGAAAGATAATTGATGAAAAGCGAATCAAAATGTTTTTGATCACGTGCAAGAATAGTTTGGAGAAAACCAAAGTGGTGTTGGACCAGCATTACACTACAAAGCTCTCAATACCAGAATACTACTCTAAGTGGAATCCGACTTCACCAAAGATAGTTAAAAAAAACACACTTGCAAATTAAGAACAATAATATTATGACAATAGTGCTTGTCATAATAGTAGTGAAATTTAGTCACTAGGAAAAAATTCAACCTTAATAAACCTTCTTAAAATATCCTATAGAAAATATATTCGTTGGAAAAGTAGATGTAAGGCTTATGTGTCTTTTGGATATTTCCATACTTTGGAAAATTAGATAATTAGTAATATAACTTTTATAACAATTTATCTATTGTCGTTTTTCGGCACTCACTAAATCCTAAATTTAACTAATTTCACATCTAGATCGATTTGTGTCTCAGAAGTACCCAAGTCGCTATAGATTTTACTGATTGTGCTTGGTGTTGGAAGTACCAATGTATTAGTTTCCATTGCTATTGAATCCCTGGTAATTTACACGCAATCTTAAAGATATTAAAGATTCATTTAACATACTAGTTAGAAACTTTTATTGCGTATATCAGCACGGTACTCGGTAGACTATGAATGGTATAATATACACTATTTCTTTAACGACGTTTAGTTTTTTTAGAAGTTTTATTAACAAAGAAACAATAAACAAGGTTGATTTTTTCCCTAGCGAATAAATTTAACTTCTTATATAACAAGCATTATTATCTTAATGTTAACATTGTTCTTAATTTGCAAGTATAAGTAATTTTATTTTTTTTATTAGTTTATTATAATAAAGAATTTTTTTGTATTTAGATGGCTTACCCAATGCAGCTACATGAAATTCACATAATTAATACAAAAAGTTTCATACAACCATTAATAAACGTAACATTAAGTCTTCTGAAACATAAAATTTCAGGAAGGGTAAGAAATCATTCATATTTTAAGAGTTGTTTAGGAATATAGTAATGAAATATTTATAATAAAGGTGTTAATTCACAAATCCATTGAAGAACTGAAAAATTACATCGATCCTAGTGTTCTTCCATTAAACTACGGAGGAACTTTTTCAAAAACATCTGAGGAAATAATAGGTTAGTGGCCTGTAATAATTATTAAAAACAACTATACGATTTTATTTTAAATTGATAACTTTTAGAAAGGGATTTCTAATAATCTATGATAATTCTATGTCTGACTACAATACCTGTAATATTGCACGTTACTATAAAAATTTTTTTTTTTTGGTAAAATAATAAAAACCAATTGCAACAAAAATAAAACATTGTAAAATCAATAAAAAACAATTCTAGTCATGAAACTTTTTTTTAAACTATGTAGAATACTTAACAATCATAGACAAACAAATATATGCACAATTTACAAATTTCCTTTTATAATACCGGATTTTGTTGCCTCAGGAAACTCTTTTCTGTACTATTCAATAACTTGCAACAAGTATTGTTGCAGATCATCATTTTTAGTTACATCATCATTAAACTTTTAAATTAGCGCAACTCTCTACTGCATAGTTTATAACTTTTAACTTTTTTAAATTTTCACGAGCGTGAATGTACGATAAGTCTTCTTCCCATTGAAGAGGGTCTATAAATTGTAGACTATATATAAATAAAAAATGTTATTCTTCAAGGCACAATGTTTTATTAAAAATAAAAACCAATATAATGATGATGGTGTAATAATTCTAAAATATTTCTAGACTTAGGTCTAAAAACAATAATATTACACAGTAAGAAAATGGTTTGGCTTTGTTAGAAAACAAGAATATCGTTATACCGCCAACGATTAATAAGTACATGATGTTTTCTTTAAAAACTATTATTAGTTGCCAAATTAGTCACGACTAATGCATTGTAGTGATGTAATTTTTCTTCGGGGTCTAATCAATGTAATTGTTATCTCTGCCGTTACTTTTGGTGCTGTCATCCTCAGTTTAAAATATAATCAAAATGCAATAACCGTTTCAATTAAAACTTATATTATCGTATTCCAAATTTTCAAAAAATTTTTGGATTATAATTGTATGAGCTAAAAAAACCTGTGTAATAATCATGTTACCATATTTTCTGGCGGAACCACCTTGACGGGCTCCATTCGAATGTTGGACTGCATAGGTTTTTTTTCCTACACTTACTTCGTATATACTTACAATATAGTTTTACATTTAATACTGATTGAAATTCATGCATTTCAATTGCACTCTAAAGCGCCCACGACATTGTTTTTCTACATTTTGCATACTAATTTCGGTTTTTTTTTTTTTGGTTGCGCATATTTTTTTTTATATTAGTGACGTGTAACAATTGGTAAGTGTCCGACAGATGATATAACGTTATTTTTTATAATCGTTATAACTTTGCATTGATGAATATTAAAATCTATTAAGAAGAAAATGGCATTTCATAACTTTATAGCTGTACGTTTTTTGTTATAATTGATTTATGTATCAATACAACAATATCTAAAACGTGCACGCCCTTATCTATTAAGTTTATAAACATGTCATTATTTATCTCCTTCTTTATACTAATGAAATTGAACTTTTTATCTTATATTTGTAAATAACACTAGGCGTGTTTTAGTAGTTAAAGTAACTTTGTTATCCAACATATACTATATGTTTCTTTTCTTTTTTTTTTTTATTGTAAATAGTGATCATATTTGAAACCGCAAAAAAATCTATAGTAAGTTAACGCTAAGTTTAGATGGCACCAAACCAGGAAAACTTTAAAATAAAAAATATAAAAACAACATTATAAATTAGTGAAAAAATGAAATTGTAATTTTTTTTCTTTTGTATTCTTTTTTTAATATTTACAAGTTTTTAGAGAAATTTGTATTACTTATATGTAATATTTAAAAATTATTTTATACATTTATATATATATATATAATACACACCCAGTTAAAAAGTGATACAACTCAGAACATGTTAATTTTCAAATATCTCATTTGTTAAAATAATTCAGCTGTAGTTTATTTTACCAGCTATGATATTGCTTTTATGGGGAATGCACGCGGTCTGTTTTTAAGAAGGATTTTTAGTATAAAATAAAACTTATTAACCGACGTGCAAATGAAATACTTCATAATTAAATAACCGTAGAGAGATGAGCTCTTTGCAGGGTGATCCAACTAACGTAAGACACTCATTTTCTTGGAAAATATGAATATTTTGAGAATTTCTAAACTTTTAGGTACACATTTTACTACATTTTTCAATATTTAGAAATTTTTTATCTTCAACCCTTATACGTTATAGAAGTACGAAACTCGTTTTTTTCAAATGGAAACATATGTTTTTAATTCCATAGGTATGTGGACAATTTTTTTAAAAAAATGTTAGCGTTTGAATTTTCAATATATATTTAATTCAAGAGACAAATTTGTATTTTTATTCATCCCTTGAAAAGTTATATAATTTGTATTTGAAAGAGATGAAAATATTACTCCGCGTATAATGCAGCGGCCATTTGACCATGTCATTAAATAACACTGATTGACAACTAAATTGATTTACTAATACAACTAGTAATACAACTAGTATAACACAAACATATTTTTGAAATAAGACTAAAAACTGAAGTCATTTTATCACGACATAACACACTTTTTGACGCCGTTGAAATTCATGGTATATTTTTCTAGACTCGTGTGCACCAGTACAATGTACATGGAATATGTGTTATCTATTGCACTGGACACGGATGATACTAATCATTATCATGCAAAAGGTGTACACTAGACGTGCAACCAGATGGAAAACGCTATAGTGTAATCGGTGTTCGATACTGATAAACCTACTTCCCAGTAATATGTCAAATATCAAAAATATATTTACAAAATGTTCACTATTACCAGTGGAAACAAGTTTGTGCTTGTGAAATCATTATGTTTATTAGTTTTCATCGTACATTGTAGAACAATATAAAATGTAGTCGCAAATTAGGAAATATATAAACACAATTGACAAAACCGATTGATGAAAATTAGAAATTCAAACGTTAAAACTTTTTTAAAAATTTTGTCTACAGATTTATGAAATTAAAAACATACGTTACCATTTAAAACACCAAATGCGATAAATGTTTTACATATAAGGGTCGAAGATACGAATATTCTAAATATTGAAAAATGTAGTAAAATATGTAGCTAAAAGTTTAGGGAAAAAAAATTCTCAAAATATTCATATTTTCCGAGAAAATGGAGTGTCTTACGTTAGTTGGATCACCCTGTATATTAAGCCAACAAAAAAACAAATATTAATTATTTTGTTTGTTAGTTGAATTTTCAATAAAAATGAATATAGTTTTTTTTTTTTTTGTTTTAATTTAAATTGAATAATTACTATTTGACCTTAGTTAAAAAAAAAAAATATTGTAATAAATAATTAATTTCTGTGAATATGAATGCACAATGAATTAAATCGATTTAATTAATGAATTTCACATAAAAATCGAAAAACTAAAAAAACAAAAATTTATTCTGACGATAAAACTTGGACAAGAAATAGTGTTTGTTATGCCATCCTTAGTGTACCGAGTAACGTGTTTGTATTATTTTTAGCAAAAAATATTTATTTAATACTATTTTTCTTAATATTAATGTCCAGTTGCGTAATATATGTTATTTCCTTGTAGTAAAACAAATGGTGTTATGTAAGATATGAGAATAACTTTTTCACTTCTTACATTCTTTCATATTGTTACAAATTTCCTATGGTTTTGTGAGGGTGCTTTAATTGCAGTAACAAATATTTATAAATATTATTAGAAGACACACATTTTATTATAACTTGATATTTTATGATTTCATTGCTTTTTTTATTTATTTAAGATAATTTACAATCCATACAATATATGTTAAGTATAATAAGTAAATTTGTTAACAATAATAATAAGTATGTAGGATAGTTGAATGGCTAGACGAGGGAGTGATCCGTTTGCAATTTCATTGCTAAAAATCTTTTAGATACAATTTTTTGAATTGAGTAATGGCATGATATGCGTTTACATAACAACACTAACTAAAATATACATGTCATTTAGTTGGTGCAAGTCAAATTTACATATAACGTACATTTTACTGAAAGAACCTGAAAGAATTTTTCATAAATTGAATCAATAATACCTAACTTAAGATAAATGTCCAAATTTCGAGTGCGAATAAATAATGTATTAAACAAAAATATAGTATATCAAAAGTAGTCAATAAAAGCGCTAATGAAAATAAAATACTCAAACTTGCGATTTAAGAACAATGCTATTATAATAATAATGCTTAACAGAATTGAAGTTTAATTTAGTCGCCTGGGTTTTTTCCAATTTAATTAAGTTAAATTAGTCGCATGGGAAAAAACCAAACAACCTTGTTCATTGTTTCTCTGTTGATAAAACTTCTAAAAAATTTAATTTCTTTGGAGAAATATTATACATTATACTATACTTAGTCTAGTGAGGAACGTGATTGTATGTGCGATAAATAGATTTTGTTTAACTAGTATTTCAAAATAATCCTTTATAACGTTTTTAAGGTTGTGTGTAAATTGCCAGTGCTTCAATAGCAATGGAAACTAAAACGTTAATACTTCCAACACCTAGCACAATCAGTAAAATCTATAGCGAGTTGGGAACATCTGAGGCGAAAATAGATCTGGACGTGAAACTTCTCAAAGAATGGATGAGAAAACAGCCTCACCTTCCGAACCCAGACGGTATTTTTAGTAATAATTTGGTTTCCAGGAACATTTATTCTCTTAACAATATTATGCTAATTAATATCCCATACCAAACAGCTCTATTGTTTATTAGATGATGGAAAGATAATTGATGAAAAGCGAATCAAAATGTTTTTGATCATGTGCAAGAATAGTTTGGAGAGAACCAAAGTAAAGTTGGACCAGCATTACACTGTAAAACTCTCAATACCAGAATACTACTCTACGTGGGATCCGTGTTTACCCGAGATAGTTCAATCGATGAAACTGTCGTTAGTACCTGATTTGTGTACATGTCTATTATATTTAGTGGATTTGACTACTGCTTGACTTGAACCCTAGTCGTTTTAATAAATCAAGCAGCAAGAAATTTCTATTTTTTGGGATGTCTTTGCAGCATTTTTTATTACGATTTATGTGCGTTCTATACAAAGAGACAATGTTGGAAAATATTTTATTTGTTGAACATCGACTATTATCGATTTATATAGATTGATAAATATACTATTTCAGTAGACGTTTTTTTTTTTTTTAATATTACGAACAAAATATCAAATTTTTACTAAAATATTTTTAATTGATAAAATGTTTTTTAGTGTTTTCGTACCATTGCCAAGGCCTACACACGAAGGCCACAGGGTATGCCTCTATTGTGTTCGGACGAAAGATGACGATAAATTTGTATGTAATGATTTTATGAAATTATGCCTGATGACTTTTGATCTTCGATTAGCTAAGTTAGACACATTTAAGAAGGATATATACATATTTGATTCGAACAATTTTTCAATGAATTACGTGACTGCAATTTTACGCAATATCAAGAAACTCGTTGAAAGTTCATTTGTAAGTATTTTTTTACATTTAGCTCAAATTTGACGTACTAGTACATAAATAATTGTTATAAATGTAGAATTTTCGTACAAAAACTCAACTGTAGGTATTATTACAAAAATATTATATTCTAAAATTTGATGATGGATGTTTAACATGCTCTATTATTGTCATCGTACAAGCAGGGTACATATATTAATTACAGTTAGCCCTACACTTATCAGGATCAGAAAATAAGTATAAACTCAAGTTTATAATATTATAGTAAGGTTGTCAAACTAGAAAATTGAATTCATTTAAATTTATTATTAAGCAAAAATTTCGTTTACAATTGAGAAAATTACCTAAAAATGTAAATGTTTTTCTATTTGAAATACGTTTTACATTTTCGTACATTTATTCGTTTATTATTTGCTTTTAAATAGCGCCCTTCTTAGATATACCACAGCAAAAAGAAATACTTGTTAGAATTAAAAATAATTTTTAGTTTAAATTTTAACCAGAACAATTAGACAAACAATATCTTATTTGTATTAAATTATATTTATTATTGTATTTAGATGGCTTACCCAATGCAGCTACATGAAATTCACGTAATTAATACAAAAAGTTTCATACAACCATTAATAAACGTAACATTAAGTCTTCTGAAACATAAAATTTCAGGAAGGGTAAGAAATCATTCATATTTTAAGAGTTGTTTAGGAATATAGTAATGAAATATTTATAATAAAGGTGTTAATTCACAAATCCATTGAAGAACTGAAAAATTACATCGATCCTAGTGTTCTTCCATTAAACTACGGAGGAACTTTTTCAAAAACATCTGAGGAAATAATAGGTTAGTGGCCTGTAATAATTATTAAAAACAACTATACGATTTTATTTTAAATTGATAACTTTTAGAAAGGGATTTCTAATAATCTATGATAATTCTATGTGTGACTACAATACCTGTAATATTGCACGTTACTATAAAAATTATATTTTTGGTATAATAAAGCCATCAAGTTGGTCTTAGGTGTCATTAATTATGCATGTTGTTTTAGTTTTAACGGGGAAAACTACTTACAGGTTTTTACTCGTCTGAAGATAATTAACACAAAAATGGCAGGCACTATTCACAAATAAATGCGTATAGTTTGCTTATTTAATTATAATTCATATTAGTTGAACAATATAAAATATTTTATTTTAATTAATATTAATTTTAATATTATATGTATAGAGACGGAAAGTAACTCCTCTAGTTTACCACGCCCAAAGTTCGTTTGTTAAAATTAAATAATTTATATAATTAAACCAAATTCCGCCTGGTCGTCATTCATTTTATTATATACGAATGTTGTTAATTATTCAATGTTTAATTATCTAATTTGTATAAAAATGTATATAATTGAATTGCAGACGAATGGCATAATGAGTTGATAAGACACCGAGAATGGCTTATAACCCAAACGTCGATTGTTGCAGATAATAGTAAACGCCCGAAAAATTCCAACGACAACTCGGATAGTATTGAAAACATAATCGAAGGTTCGTTTAGGAAATTAGATGTCGATTAGTAATGAATCAAAGATACAGTTTGCTAATTCGCCAAGAAATCTGGCAATATTGTGCACGTATTTTGCATAATATTCTATTAGTTCCACGACAACATTATTTTAAAGTCGTTTACTTGAATTTAACATTACTAAACGATAAATATTTTTTGAATTATATTTATCTTAATACTCATGTCTAATTTTATATGGTCATAGTTTTTAAGTAAAAATGTTTTGTGGTGTAAGATGAAATTAATTATTGGTATTGTAATTTCAAATTTTGGAAACAATGTTAACAATAGCTACTTTTTTGTAATAAAACAAATGGAGGTGTATGTTACATGTTATGGTATGTTCACCACCATTTGTTATAATTGGTTTTCTATTCGACGAGAAAAGTATTTAAGCGTTATGAGGTGAAATTGTTACTTGGTGTTGTTATTTAAATTTAAGAATAAATGTTTTTTCCTTGTAATAAAACAAATAGTTGTAAATAAGATAATGAGTATATTTTCCTTCCTTGTTACATTCTTAAGTATTGTTGCGACTTACAACTTTACTATGGTCATGACTATTATGTCGATGACAAATATCGGAGTGTCCCCCAGCCCAATAACATACCCATGTTAATATTAAATTGTACACAAAGTATATTTTGGAATGATTAATCGTCAACATCATTAGAATTTATAAATTTATTTTAATTTTCTCAAACTGATATAGAAAATATTGCGTAAAAGTATTTTAAGGTATTTCACATCAAAATTATTTAATTATTTATACACAATTGCATTTTTTTTCAAGTCGTGTGAACCCATTTAAAGGGAGTCTGAATCGAGTATATATTTGATTGCATTATTATGGTACACACAATCGAAAAACCAATTTATTTGTCTGAAACTCACGTGTCTAAATATGCCATTTCGCATGTTGTGAATGAACGACAGCATTTTACTATCGTTCGTGATAACTTTATCTTTCAACGCGTCTGCCGAATAGACCTCCTTGGTCAACTCGATAAGGGTCTTGGCGTTTTCGGTGATTTCATTGTCCGAGTCGGCCATGACAGTACCGATCAAAGTGTCCAAGTAGGCTATCGCTCGTTTGATGTGGTCCGTTGTCACAACTCCGACCGAAGTGTCGAAAAATTCGCACAAATCGTTCAGCTCGGCATCCCTGTGCAGATCCAAGGCGCTCTTGATGGTCCTCAACGAGTGTCCGGGTTTGGTCCAACACAACCAGATAACAGACGGTTTCCGGACGATCATCTCTGGGTTTTTTTACCACTCCCTATGTCAACTTTAAAATGCTCTAAGCAAATAAACTATATAAACACCGTAATGTTCATATATAATCACCCTATACGTGTAACTGCGACCCTGAGTACAATTTTTATCCTATAGTATTTTCCAAACAGCACAACATTTTATTTTCAAAATATTTACTTTTATGCTTTGCCGTTTGTGTTGACAATGTGTTATTTGGTTTTTTTTTTGTGTTTCACTCGACTAAATTCATTTTGTTGACGTTTTTTTTTCTTCAATTTTAACTAAACACAATCCATGATAATTACAATATAAGAAAATTAAATAATAGCTATAGTTAAATAGAATCATGGAGAGGCGCGGTGGTCGCGGTGAAGGTCCCGAATGACGTATATTAAGCCAAGAAAAAAAATACTAATTATTTTGTTTGTTAGTTGAATTTCCAATTGAAATGGGTATAGCATTTTTTATTTGATTTAATTTAATTAACTTTTTGTGTGTTTTATATTTAAATTGAATAACTATTATGTAAGCTTAGACGAAATAAAAAATTATTAAAATAAAATATACATTATATTTGAATATGAATACACAATGAATTAAATCGATTTAGATAATGAATTTCACAGAAAAACTAAAAAACTCATAAACAACCTTGTTCATTGTTTCATTATTGATAAAACTTTTAAAAAACTAAACGTCGTTGAAGGAATAGTGTAGGTTATGCCATTCTTAGTCTACCGAGTAATGCGTTTGTATATGCATTAAATAGTTTTTTTTAGCTTGTATTTAAAATATCGCTTGAAAATTGCGTGTAAATTACCAGTGTTTCAATGGAAACTAAAACGTTAATACTTCCTACACCGAAGACAATTAGTAAAATCTATAGCGAGTTGGGTACTTCTGAGACACAAATAGATCTTGACGTGAAATTTCTCAAGGAGTGGATGCGAAAACAGCCCCACCTTCCCAACCCAGACGATAAAATGTATTATTTTTATTTTTAGATATTCTCTTAATATTAAACACCAATCAATACAATTATTTATTAGATGACGGAAAGATAATTGATGAAAAGCGAATCAAAATGTTTTTGATCACGTGCAAGAATAGTTTGGAGAAAACCAAAGTAACGTTGCACCAGCATTACACTACAAAGCTCTCAATACCAGAATACTACTCTAAGTGGAATCCGACTTCACCAAAGATAGTTAAAAAAAACACACTTGCAAATTAAGAACAATAATATTATGACAATAGTGCTTGTCATAATAGTAGTGAAATTTAGTCACTAGGAAAAAATTCAACCTTAATAAACCTTCTTAAAATATCCTATAGAAAATATATTCGTTGGAAAAGTAGATGTAAGGCTTATGTGTCTTTTGGATATTTTCATACTTTGGAAAATTAGATAATTAGTAATATAACTTTTATAACAATTTATCTATTGTCGTTTTTCGGCACTCACTAAATCCTAAATTTAACTGTTAATTATTATACAACCATAGCCGTCTAAAATTCATACTTATTCATTCATTAGTTCATTTTAATTATATTTCATATTGCATATAACAGAAAACAATTAGTCTTAAATTTTTTAATATTTAATATTAAGTAATTATTAGCGTCTTGAATGGTTTATTCTTACATAATCAGAGCATTTTTCTTAACCCAATCAAAACCGTACATCGCCGGACTATGTAGGTTCATCATTATGGGACTTACTCTTATTATCATATAATAAGTAAAATGTGCAACAATTTTAGTAATAAGAAAAAAAGTAAACTAAATCCATGGATTACACGATTTGGCCTAATTCAATTAGAACTACGAGGACAATTTTTAATAAAACGAAAATGCAACAATTCATTGTAATATGTAATAAAGTAGTTTATAAAGTATAGGGATTTATTGAACAAGCTAATGTATATGGCAAAAAACCTGTGTTATGGTACTGAAATTATTAATTCACGAAATAATTTTTAAATGGTTTGGAATCTAATCAAATATTATATTATATTATAGAAAAAATGTTAGTGAAATAATAGATGACACAGGGAAGACTGTTGACCTTTCTCAAACTATTGTCGTGACGCCCCTTTAAATCGCATAATGCGACCAGTAAATAATTAATAATATTGATTTATTTGTTAAAAGCTTTTGTTAATTATTTAAATAATCCAATTGTGAAAATATTGTTTATCTTTATCTATTGTTTTGTGTTGCTGAAATCCATTGTAATTGTCAGCTGTTGTGTTAATCTGTATACTTTTATTTTTGTGTAAATTCTATGTTTATGTCCCTATTCTTCTCTTATTTTTAATTGGGTATTAACCCGTTTAAAAATACAATATATAAATCAATTGCTCAACGATTACATTAAAGGGATTGCCTAAAATGTCCAACAAACAGGCCACTTCAACCCCCTTAAGATGGGTCAAAACATATTCACTGGAATCAAACTTATACATTTTACAACAGTTTTTGGCTACAATAAATTCTGACGTAATAGCATTTTCTTCAATGTCTAATTGCCAATGTATTATTTTCATTTCAAAATATCTATTTGTATCATAACCCTTTTTTGTTACATACGAAAACCCTTAAAAAGTAAAACGTTTTTTTTTTTAAATTTATAGAAAATCAATACATTTTTTTATGTAGCCTTTGAGCTACTTGGGAGGGTATTCTAGAAACGGGCTCTCCCTCCTTTTAATACACCTATGGATTTGTATGGAAAAAATCTCCTTCGATGATGTATCTAACCTTTGTTTTCAAACAGGGTTTCAAACACATTTGTATTTGAACTTCGCAGCAATAGTTTTCAAAACAGATTATGAGTAGATTGAACAATTTACCAACACGACGTTAACCGCTTTAAAATGTGTCAATATTTTTGTAATCTTCAGTATAGCCTTTGCGTAGTATGTTCTTTTTCGAATTCCAGCAAGTATAATAATAATTTCAACCATTGCATCAGCCCCTAACCTGACCTAGTCGATTGTTTTTTAAATCGTTCCCAATTGGCAATGTAAAATATTAACAGATATTTTATCGAGCGTTTCAATTGAAAATCTATTCATTTGCTGTTAAAACGAAATTGTTATTGTGTTTTCTGCTGTTGTTGTCGTTGTAACTGTTCTTGTTTGTACAAATGTTTCACACGCGAAAATATTTCACTGAAAAACAACTTATTTTTTTGTTCCATATAGGTCGGTACTATTAGTTTTTATAACTTTATGCGAATTGTTGTTTTCAATATTCCACAGTATTTTTTGTCCCTGCATATTATTTTTCTGTTCGAATACATATAAAAGCGATTATCATAGATCAAATAGATTTACACAATATACAGTATACCTCGGTAACCTCTACTTAAAGTATAATTTTAATTCCTAAAAATACAAATAAAGAAAAAAGATTAATTAATCCCAATATTTTTCTTATCAAAATCGCTTAATTATCAAAATGTAATCTATAATAAGTGATAATTACGAAGCGATTTAAATTTATATATATATTTTTATTTTTTATTTATTAAATAGAGGGTGATCATATTACCGTGAGCTATTGTGATTCAAATTTTTCGCCAGTTTGTGTTTTTGCTTTTACCCCCCCCCCCTCCAGAACTAATTATTTTTATATAAACTCATGTAACTTAAATGGTAAAATATATATTACTAACATTTTAAATGAAGGATTTGAAGGCAATAGTTGTAAATGAATAAAATATTTATGTGCGCAAATCGTATATCCGATTAGATAACATTTTCAAGTTTTGACTATTTGCTATGGCCTTAGAATTTTCAACGTAAAGAGTAACACTAAGATGTGGACAAAAAAATGTTTTTTAAAACTTGTTTGGCGCAATTTTAAAAATTTAACAACTAACAAGTCAAATTAATTCCAAATTTATGTGGAATTTAAACAGTTTCCAATAGAAAAGATAGAATTTTTTTCTTTATTTCACTTTTCGAAGCAAAGTTTTAGGGATTTAGGTCGGGAAAATTAGACCTAAGGTATATTATCTAGAACTGAACTGTAACATATACAATTTTCTCAACAAAAAAAAAACTGCGATCAAACTTATTTTATATTAAGGAAAACCCTCCAAAAAAAGGGGAAAATTACACTTTTACCGTAGTCAATTTCCAGGTTGCTACGTATGAGTGAGTAAATAGACAATAAAAATATTTCATTATATTGTTAACAAT